CTAGTTTTAGTTTTCATGCTTAAGCGTATGAACCAATATGAGTAATTATTGGTGTGTGGTATGAGTTAAATGTCGAGATTTTTTTTTTTCCCTTTTATATATCTCACCAAGTTGATGCAGCACCATTATTATTTCCCCACTGAGTTAGAGCTTCAGTTGAAAACCATTTGACTTTATATGAGGGTGAGCCTGTTTATGGCTCTCAGGTCACTGAACTTACTTCACTGTGACTTGATGATAGTCTGAAAGTCAGGTAGTGTAAGTCTTCCAACTCTGTTCTTTTTTCAGGTTTGGCTAGTCTAGATTCCTTGCATTTTTATATAATTTTAGAATGAGTTCATCAAATTCTTCAAAAGAATCTGTTGGATTTTTTTTGAGTTTAGATTGTATCTATAGACAATTTGGAAAGATGACTGTCTTAATACCATGAATATGGTATAACCTGCCATTCATACAGGTTTTCTTTAGTTTCTCTCTGCAGTTTTGTGTGTTTTTTTTTTGTTTTTTTTCAGAATAGAAGTCACTTTCAATTTTTATTAGATATTTCTAGGCATTTTGATTTTTTTAATGCAATTTTTAAGTGATACCAAAGAATCAACTCTATTGGCGCATAATTTACATTCCACAGAATATACACACATTAAGAGTATTGCCACCACAGTCATGCTAAAGCAGCTTCTTCATTATAGAAAATTTCTCTCTCCCCTTTGCAGTCACTCCTTCTTCAACCCCAGGCAGCTTAGTTTCTGGCACTCTCGATTAGCCTTTCCTGTCATAGACATGAATGGGAATGGAGTAACACAGGGTGAACTTATGGTTGAGTCATGTTTTAGATTCATTCATGTAGTTGCATAATCAGGCCTTTCACCCTTTTTATTACTGGCCAGTAGTGTTTGATTGCGTGGATAGACCTGGATTAGTTAGGTCATCAGTTGGTGGTGTTTCCACATTCTGGTTATTATGTACAAAGCTACTTGGAACATCTTTGAGTAAAAATATATCTTCATTTCTAGGGCAGAGGTCCAGGAGTAGAACTACTGGGCCATGTCATATGTGTGGGCTTACCTGTTCCAAGAATTTGCCACAGTCTTGCAAAGTGATTGCACAATTTATTATTCACGACATCGGTGTTTAAGAGTTTCGGTCGTGGTGTTAACTCTAAATTTTTGCCATTTTAGTGGGTGTGAAATGGTGCCTCACTGTGGTTTTAATTTGTATTTCCCTATGACTAGTGATGTCACCAGCTCTTAATGTGTTTATTACCATTTGTGTATGTGTTTGTGAAGTATCTGTTCAAATCTGTTGACCATGTTCTTATTTGGTTATTTGCCCTCTGGTTATTGAGTTGTAAAAGTTCCTCATGTATTCTATCTACAAATCTTTTGTATTGTGAATATTTTCTCCAAGGCTGTGGCTTGTTTTCATTTGATTAACAGCAGATTTTCCAAGAACTGAAGATTTTAATTTTAAGTTTAATTAACTTTTAAAAAAGTGATTCATACCATTTGTGCTCTAAAATTCTTTGACTTCCTGAAAGTCATAAAATCTTTCTCCTCTGTTTTATGATTTTCAGTTTTTATGGTAGAAGTTTCTATTAATCTTAATTTTTAGTGTGCTATAAGGTCAAAATGCATTCTTTTTTTCCCCTGAACAGATATCCTATCATTTAAACACATTTCTCTTAAAGGATATTCTTCCCCCATGTGATCAGATCATTGCTTTTGTTGGAAATTACTTGGTTGTTTATGTAAAGGTCTATCCCAGCATTTTCTGTTTTAGTCTGTGGACACATGTCCAGCTTATGCTAATACCACATAGGTTTGAAGCTTTGTGGTAGCCTTGAAAATGGCTCTTATAAATCCCCTAACTTGGTTCATTATCAATATTGTTTTCCCAATCAAGTATATGACTTTGGATTTCTATATAAATTATAAAATAAGTTACAGTTTCTACTAACTACCCCCCTTTACTTCTCACCGGTTTTCTATGTATTTTGCTGAATTTATTCTTGAGTAGTTTTCTTTTTTGGATGTTATTGTCATGGTAGTTTATTTTTTAATACCGCACTAATTGTTTTTGTTTAGTCTATAAAAATACAGTTGATTTTTATAACTAATCTTGTAACCATGCTAAATTTACTTTGTTTTTATAGATGTCTTTGGATTTTTCTGCATAGAAAATCCTTTTTTCTGCAAATAAGGAATAATTTTGTTTTTCCTTTCCAGTCGGAGCCTTTTCTCCCCACACCCTTATTTTCTTTTTCTTTTACACAGTGTAAGGAGCTCCCTCCCTTATAGTGCTGAATAGATGTGATGAGAGGAGATATTCTTCCCTTTTATTGATCTTAGAGGGAAAGCATTCGGTCTCTCACTATTAAGATAGTAGCCACAATGTTTTATTGTTTGTAAATGCCCTTTATCAGGTTGCAGAAAGATCCTTCTAGTTCTAGTCCCTAAGTGTGTGCTTGTTTTAACCACAAATGAACACCATGTATGAATACTGTAAAGTGAGTCCTCAACATTTGTTAAGATGATAATATCATTTTTCCTCTTACTGTGTTAATTGGGTGATTTTCATTCATTTGTGAAAGTTCAACCAACCTTGCATTCCACAAAGAATGACAGAGTTTACCAGTCACTGAAGAAAAAGGGATTGGCGTGGGCTCGGAGCTGGGAGGTTCAGGAGCTCCTTGGGAGAAGGAAGTATCTCTCAACTGCCCTGGCCTTTAACCAGCCTTCTGCAAGGCTTTTACAACTTTCTAGTGGGTAAATAGTTGTTATATTTCAAATTCACTTGTCACAATTTCTCCTGTGTTTTGTAACTTCCTCTGCGGGCGAGAGGGAACATTCCTGAAAGTCTGTTTTCCCCCATGCACGTAGTAGATGGTCAGCAATTGTAGGAGTAGCAGATAGTAGATAAACAGCAGATAGTTTCTAAAAAGACAAGATAAGGAAAGTTATTCATTTCGTTCATTCTTCCTGAGCACAGCAGGAAGAATAGAAATCTGCACAACAGACAGAAATAATATTCCTGTGAAGCCTCCAATGTTATCTTCCTTCCACGATAAGCTCTTGTAATTCGGAGCAGTCCCACGTCTGTAACACTGATGGAATGTGAATCCCCTGGAGGCATGTGACATTTTAACAGCATGTGACATCTCAGTTCTTTTATGTAGTAAACAATATGCAAATTGCATCGAATTATAGTACAGCATCTCCCAAGGCCACCAGGTCTTAATAAAAGAACACCACATTTGTATAGTAGCTTTGAGTATTTACATTTAATAAATACTCTTCACAAATCTGTGGGGCAAATACAGCTGATGGAGATGAAGCACAACCCTGCTCAGTGACGCCCTCTTCCAAGGGGCCTTGGGGACCCCTCTCGGAGCTTGTGTCTGAGCTGTGTGGTGTCTCAGAAATGTGCATGCTTCCTGCTGAGTCTCCTGTGTCGTGCACAGCCTCCTGGAATGTGTCTGCTGAACTAGCCAAAGCAAATGCTGACGATTTATTGTTGTTATTTCTCTTATACTTTATTTGTCCGTCAAATAAATTTCTGTGACAGTTGAGCTGTTGATTAGTATTTTATTGAAAGTATGTCAAGTCCCCAGTATGTGGGGAAATATGTTTCAGTCAAACCTCTGAAGACTTGAGAGAGAACCACTGGTACGTGTCCTGTTTGTAACTTACAAATACTTAAAAAGTTTCTCATGTGTGTTTACAATTTGTAGTGTCTCTTATTTGGTTAGTTAGTCAGTTATCTCATGATAACAAATTACCCCAAAACTTAGTAGTTTAAAATCCCTTCATTACCTCACAGTTCTGGGGCTCCTGAGCACTGGCAGGTTTGTGGGCTCTGTGGGCTCCAGGCGTCCGGCAGGCGTCCGCCTGAGGTGCGCCCAGGCCACAGGCCTCTGCAGGCAGGACGGGGAGACCCGCTTCCAGGCGGTGTTGGCAGGATCCGGGGCCTCTGTGGCTGCTGGCTGGTGGGGGGGGGGCCTTGTTCTTTGCCATGTGCACCTCTCCATGGATTAGCCGACATGCACTTTGCTTCATGAAAGCAAAAAGCCAAGAAGGGCGGCCAGAGAGAGAGAGAGCGGCCAGCCCCAGCCTCCTGCAACCTTGTCTCAGCAACACCCACCCCCCGCCGTGTCTTGTTTATCAGGACAAGTCACCTGCTCCAGGGGCAGTCGGGGCACCGCGCCACAGAAGCGGTGGCTGCCTTTGGATCCACCAGCACCTGGTTCCACTGCAGAAACTAATCGAGTTTCTGAATTTGAGTGGTGTTTGGAGCACACCGGTGATTCTACTATGCAGAGGTACGAATCCAAACACCAACTTTCAACTGTAGTCACCAAACCAGAACCAGTTTGTTTTTAAATTTCTAATCCGCCTTGGACAGACGCGCACCTTGTGAAACACACTAGAAACGAGTTATTAGAAGTGGGGAGAAAGGAAACATAGGCGGCGAGCCCCAGGAGTATCAGCCCGCAGATGTGCAGTAACCACATAACGTCGTCGGTGCATGTTTCGAGTGTTTATTCTTGGGCTCTTCACTTGCCGTGGACGCTCGCCTGTCCGTGAGCTGGTGCTGGCCGCGGCCCGTGGGTGCCCAGGTGTCGTGGGCGGCCTGGACGGGCCTGTGCAAAGTCGATTGGGTTCAGGTCCTGTGGGCCTTGAATGCTGGCATGAGTGGCTGGACTTCGGCTCTTTGGGTCCTGGGGTGCCAGAGAGATCTCGAAATACCCGGTCTGGCTGTGGACATTGTGTACAGAGGCTTCAGGGTGAGAGTGAATTGCCGACGGGGACCTGGAAGGGGCTGAGAGAGAGCAAGTGAAGTAAAACAAAAACTGTTGCAAATTTCTAGAGCAGCCGCTCCACCAATGCTAATGCACTCCTCAGAGGATACAAGAATTTAAGCTGGCTGCTCTTTTCAAAGCTGGAACGATCTTTTAAAAAATAATTACGTTGTAAAAAAGAACCCACCTCATGTATTTTCAGAAACCACACAGATAGAAGATCCCAGAAAACAGTGGCGGGGGGAGCAGGAGAAGATGCTCAAGGACTATCTCTCGGTGGCCCAGGATGCTCTCAGGACGCAGAAGGAGCTGTACCACGTGAAGGAGCAGAGGCTGGCCTTGGCGCTGGATGAATATGTCCGATTAAACGATGCCTACAAGGAAAAGTCAAGTTCCCGCACCAGCCGTAAGTACAGGGGGGCCATTCAGACGAGGCGGAGTTTAGTTCTGAGCCTTGTCCCTCCGAGGCGGTAGGAGTCCCTCAAAGCCCGGCGAGGACACACACAGCGCCGATTCCTCAGCAAACCCCCTCAACCCCACTCCAGAGAAAACTCTCCTCATTGGGGATTATGGATCCTTTTGCTCCTCCCGCTGCCTGGTTGCCTTTTATTTGTTTATGAGTTAATTTTTACCTTTCCAGATGCAGGGAAATCACAGCCCTTTTTGCTGCTCTCCAATGCGGTGGGGAGGAGCTGGAACTGTCAGTCACAGTGAAGTTTCTGTTGACCCCAGAGTCGATTCACTTCACTCTCAGCACATAAATCAGTAATAGGGCGCTGGCCTTGTCGGCAGAAGGCTGACAGGTGTAGAAGGACTCCTTACTCTACACAGAAGTTCTGTGGAGTCGGGAAAGTTCTTCTACGCTGAACCTGCAATAAGACCCTCTCAGATTATGCAGCTCTAATCCAGGATGAAATCCAGCACCAGGGTCTTTATGACATTCCCCTCTCCTGAGTTTTTAGAAGAAAATTATAAAGATTTGAAGATTACATTTTATATTTAGATGCCTGACGAACGACAGTATAGGAATTGTTGGGTAATTATCCCCCGAAGTATGTACCATCGTGTTTGTAGGGTTTGCACATTCTAAGCTGAGGACTTCGCTTTGCAACTTGTAAAAGTTACTCCCCCCCCCCTTTTTTTTCTCCTTCAAAAGTATTCTCAGGATCTTCATCCAGTACTAAATATGATCCGGATATTTTGAAAGCTGAGATCTCCACTACACGATTAAGGGTAAGGCTTTCTGGTTGTGGTTCCGCATTGAACATACACCCAGAATCTGAAGGGTTGGGAGGGGCTGTGAGATCACTGCCATCTCTGTGCAGACTTCGAGCCTCCCCACTTGCCCCTGACAGAAGGTCTTTCTGCTGTCTGGCGGCGTTCGGCGCGGGGGTTGTCCTCGTCTTGAGACCGTGTGCCCTGTTCCTGGGCTGTCTTACTACTCACAACGAGTGAGCCGATGTTTGAGTCCCAGGAACTCACTTTCCTTCCTCCTGCTGCAGTGTGTCCTCCTAGTTGCTCTTTCGTCAAACAACCTGGTACTTGGAGAGGCCCACAATCCTTGTCCTCAAGTTGTTTCTTCTCTAGGTCAAACTCACAGTTCCACACACTTCCTCATGGGTTGTTTCCCCATCTACACCCTAAACCTTTTTAACGAAGCTATGACTAAGGCCAAAACTTTTTATCCTTGATTTCTGGAGTGTTAAAGACTATTCACCATGTCAGTAAATCCATGCAGCCAAACCTAGGTGACGAACTGGACAGGCCTTCGCTACAGCAGTCCCCATAGGCCCCTCATCGCCACTCTCCTTCCTCCGGGAGGCAACACTAACCTCATCAGCACCGTAGGTTAACTGTCCGCTCGCTTAGAACTTTGTCAGACTGGAATGCTGCCATTTGTGTTATATGATGGCTTCCTTTGCTCGGAAGCACTTCGAGATTAACCCACATTTGCTCCTACTGCTGTAAAGCATTTCACTTTGGTCCACATACCAGAACTTCTTTATCTCCTCTGTTGATCTGCATTCAGCAGCATGTATTTTCTTCTAGCTGCTGATAACGAAAAATTATACTCTCACATATATGTCTATTACCCGTGTCTTTTGGTGCACATATGTGTACATTTTTTGTTGATTATGCAACCAGGAGTAGAATTGCTGTGTCAAAAAAGATACATGGCTTCAGCTCCAGTGAATGCTGACAAATAGTTTCAGGCCTTCTCATTTTCAAATATGCGCCGTTTAAGCCCAGAATTCCTTTGAGCACATGGCTTTTGTCTACATTCCACAAGTTCTGAATTTTGTATTTTCATTATTAATCAGTTCAAGATATTTTCCAACTTCTTTATGATTTCTTGTGAGTGTATTGCTTAATTTTAAACTAGCAGGGACTTTCTTTTCTTGCTGATTTCAGCTTTATCTCACTGCGTGTATTCTCAGTTCTAAAACTTCTATCTGATTTTTTTCTTTTTTCTTGTTACTTGCCCAAATTCTGAACATTGATAGCTTTTGGAACACAATCACTTGAGTTACTTTTAAATTTCATGTTCTGTTTAATTATCTAGATTTCCTAAAAGTTGAATTCTTCTGTTGGGTCTATTTTTTTCCTCTTGATTTGTGATAAATATTTGACTTCTTATAACTGCTTACTTTTTAGTAAGAGGCATATATTATATATGAAAAAGATACTGTGGGGTGTGGGGTGATTTCACCCTTTAGAGAGTATTGTGGTTTTGCTCCTTGCGGGCAGTTGGGCCAGGGCAAGTAATTTTAATTTAATCGAGGTTTGAGTTATCTGGAACCTGCCCTTTGTTCCTTTGTGACGTGTAGGTCTATTACCAGCTTACCCTTTCTTTTAGGGCAAAGCTCTTCAAAATCCCAGTTGAACTCCTGGGATATTTTATCAGGGCCCCTTCTGCTTAATTGTGTCTGAACTCCAGAGCTCTCCCCCGTGCCTTCAGTAGTATGGGGCTGCCTTTGTTCACTGCACTGAATTATTTAAATGACAGTTTGGGATAATATGTCATTTCATCTGTAAATACTTCACTAAGTATTTTGAAAAGCTAAGGACTTTAAAAATACATACGTAACATTATACACCACCATTCCCTCCAGCAAGCAGTCAGGAAAGTGGCCTGTTTGGAAAAGCCGTGCTGCGTAAAGGAAGCCTTTCAGCCTTTGACTTGATTGCCATCGGTGGCTCACACAGGTTTGCAGCTGGAGTTCGCACCTACCTGGATGGTCTGGGGAATCCGAGCTGAACAGTTAGAGGGACCTATGCCCAGTTTGGGCAGATGGCTGTGCCCCCGGGCGCCTGCAGGTCACAGCCCCCGTGCGGAACACGCCTGCCCTGCACCTCCTCTCCATAAAGCGCCAAGCACCCGAGCGCCTACCTCCAAACTCCAGTCCACACAGAGACTCATCATTGAGGTCTCACCACTAATAGGAACTGACAGGACCAAACAGACGGTAGACTCGGATCTTCAAATGCTTCCGGTTTTGTTGATTTTAGATACAGAATAAAATATATGGGTATTGAATATGTCTCAAGAAATAAAGGAGGAATTGAAAATTTGAGTAAGGAACATATGATGCCAGTGGCCAAGGGTATATGAAAAAGAACGAAGTGGGGTTTCTATCAGTTTATCTCCTGATCGTTAAAATTCCAAGCTGCCAGAAGAAAGGTTACTCGTGGCATTCCAGCAGCTAGAGACAGCTGGTTAGTCCACACCAGCGGTGGCAATAAAGTGACAGCGTGATGCTTTCAGTGTCCTAAGAGAAAATAGCCAACAACCAGGATTTTATACACAGCAAACCATCTCTCACACACTTGGATGAAATAAAGATGTTTTAAGACAAAATTAGAGAGTGACACGTGGCACCACAGTCCTCCACCACTGGAAATTCTTTAAAAAGGAAAAAAGGAAAACCAAAGGAAGAGTCTAATATAAGAGGGTAAAATGACACCCAAATGCATCAGTATTAGAATTATATAATACTGGATTAAGCGCTCTGGTTAAAAAGACAGAGATTAACAGAAAGGGATTTGGAGAGACAAGCCTTCCTGGCTGATGGTGACGAGACACCTAAAACAAGGGTATGAAAGAGTCAGAATTAAAAAGCTGAAAACAGGGCCTCCCTGGTGGCGCAGCGGTTGAGCGCCCCGCTGTGAAGCTGTCCGCAGCTGCTTCAGCACCGGTTCAATTCCCCGCTGGCCAGGGAGAACCCCACATGGCGCGCAGACCTCTCCTGCCTCGCCTGCTGCTCCCCTCAGCAGTGTCTTCGGTCCGTCTGCCTGTTCTGCTCCCCGCTCTGGCTCTGGTGAATTCTCTCACCCTCCCGCGCTTCTTACCTGCACCCCAGTTCTTGTATAAATAAATAAATCTTTAATAAATAAATAAAAAGATGGAAACAAAAAACAATACCAAAGTCCAATCAGAATAAAGCTAGTATTGTTATCCTCCCTATCCGGAGTTTGGCTTTCCATGGTTTCAGTTACCCATGGTTAAGCACAGTCTGAAAAGAAGATATTTGGGCGGGGTGTGGGGTGGTGGTGTTATGGAACTTTTATTACAAAAAATTAATATTTTTATTAATATTCTTACTATGGGGGCCTCCCCTGGTGGCGCAGCGGTTGAGCGCTGGGTTGCGAAGCTGCCCGCGGCCTCGGCAGCGCCAGTTCGATCCCCGGCTGCTCCCCGACCACCGGAGGATGATCCCACATGGTGCGCAGACCTCTCCTGCCGCCCGCTGCTCCCCTCAGCAGTGTCCTTCGGTCCTTCTGCCTGCTCTGCTCCCCGCTCTGGCTCTGGTGAATTCTCTCGCCCTCCTGCGCTTCTGACTGTACCCAGTGCTTGTATAAATAAATAAATCTTTAAAAAAAATATTCTTACTATGAAATATTGTTGGAGTTGTTCTATGTTATGATTATTGATTCTTACTCTGCCTAATTTATTTTTTTTAAAGAGTTGTTTATTTATACAAGAACTGGGGTCAGAGGTGCGGGAGGGTGAGAGAATTCACCAGAGACAGAGTGGGGAGCAGAACAGGTAGATGGACTGGAAACACTGCTGAGGGGAGCAGTGGGCAAAACAGGAGAGGTTTGCCACACCATGTGGGTAGCTCCCTGGCTGGCCGGGTATCAAACCCGTGCTGCAGAGGCTGTAGACAGCTTCACAGTGCTGCGCTCAACCTGCTGCGCCACTGGGGAGGCCCTGCTAATTTTTTGGATACTCCTCTCTTCCTGAGTCTGGGCTGGATTGAGTGATTATTTCTGATGAGCAGAGTCAGAAGAGAGAAAAATGGCAAATGATAGCGAAGAACCCTGTCAGATATCACTGCAACCAAGTAATGAAGGCTAATGTCACCAGTGCTAGTCATGCTGGTGGCACGTGTCCAGATGTCATGCGGCAGGAGGGACACATGGGCTCGTAGGCGGCCTGCCCAGGGCCTGTGACCTCGTCTAACTGTGCGGAACAGCATCAGGCAGACACAGGACACGCTTTACAGGGCGTCTGACTTACTCAAAACTCACAGGTCACGGAAGACAAGGGAAGACTGAGGAAGTGTCATGGATTGGAGGAGTCAAGAGGCGTGACCATAAATGCGGCACGGCACCCTGTGCTGGGGCTGGAATAGGACACGCACAGTGGAAAGACTCGGGGAGCCCTGTCCTGCCCATGGTCAGTGGTGCTCGCGGCATCGGGAGAGAAGCAGAGACAAACTTAAAGCCTTAAGTGGATCTGTTGGAAATCGTAGTCTTCAGATGGTGAGCAATGAATTCCTCCTCAGAGCAGCAGGGTGAGTCCCAGACAGGAGAAGGAGCAATGCAGTCAGGGGAGGCATTGCTGGCGAGTACACAGGACTCTGATGGGGTCAACAGAAGAAAAATTTGTTTCTTAAAATAATAAAATTGACAGATGTCTGTAAAGATTGACTCAGCAAATGACAAGGAAGATAAAATTGATGCTTAAGAAATAAGAGAACAGGACCTCCCTGGTGGCACAGCGGGTTGAGCACAGCGCTATGAAGCTGTCCGCAGCTTCTGTAGTGCCGGTTCGATCCCTGCCGGCCGTGGAGATACCCACATGGCGCAGCAGACCTCTCCTGCCGTGAGGGTCCCGCATGGCATGCAGACCTTTCCTGCCGCACCCGCTGCTCCCCTCTGCAGTGTACTTCGTTAGTCTGCCTGCTCTGCTCCCCGCTCTGGCTCTGGTGAATCCTCTCACCCTCCCACGCTTCTGACTGTACCCAGTGCTTGTATAAATAAATAAATAAATAAATAAATAAATAAATCTTAAAAAAAAAAAAAAGACAATTACTTAGTAAATAAAAGTAAAGTCTCTGCTCTCCCTGTGAAGACCCGTCAGCTCGTGACTCACCCAGCCGGGGCCTGTTTTTCTCACCTGTCAAATTTTACTATTGCTGTCTCCGTGGACTATATCTGCCAACAGGAAAAACTGTTTCTTTTTGATCAGTTCGACAACAAATATTTATTGATCACTACTGTGTGCCTGGTACTGTTCTAGAAGCTCGGGGTGCAACTGGTGTGAATGCGCGTACATTCCCACGGGAACAGGCAGTCAAATCTCACAGGGAATTTCAGCTCTTGAAAAAGTTTATCAGCGTATTGTCCGGGTGGGGCGGAGGGACAGGCCCTGTTTGCAGAGGTAAGGTGGGCCAGTGGCTGCAGCTCTGGGGAAAAGCCTCCCAGCCAGCGGGAACAGCACGTGCAGAAGCCCCGAGGCAGCTCCTGCCTGGACCCTGGGGAGGCTGAGGGCGGCCACAGGGCCTGGGGCTCGGCAAAGGAAAGCTGCAAACCGCCTGGCAGAGCCAGAGACGCCTCGGTTTGAGGTGCTGGCGAGGAGGAGCGCCATCACAGCCTTCCTTGCGTGTGGACTCTAGAGAAAGCGAAGGTCAGGCAAAGCCAAATGAGAATAACAAACCCTGTACGTCTGGCTGTGGAGTCGAGGCCACAGGTGGGGAGACGGAGGGAGAAGACAGGAAGGGGTACGGGGCCGGGGGCGCCCTGGTGGTGGGTGTGGGGTCCGGGGCTTCTGGTCACACAGTGTCCCTGCAAAAAAGTAATCTAGATAAATACATTAAAATTTCTGACCCTCCCTTTCTGGCTTTTTGTCACAAAATAGAGCTGGTTGTGTCCTGCTCGAAGGAATTTTGCGAGATGGAGGAAGAGGGCATGTGTTCACCACCCTGCGTGGCGCTGGCGGTCGGGCACGACTGATGTAGCTGCCGGGGGGCGTACGTCAAGGAGAAGTGGGTGGAGGGACAGTGGAGCTGACGGCCGTGTTTGTGTGTTTAATTCCTCACTAACGGATTATGTTTTAAAGCAGTGCTGCTAATTATTTACAAACATTCATATTTACATTGATTTTTCACAAAAGGTTAAAAAGCTGAAGAGGGAACTCTCGCAGATGAAGCAAGAGCTGCTCTACAAAGAACAAGGCTTTGAAACGCTGCAACAGTAAGTACCAAAACACCGACACCGGCCGGTAGCGTGGCTCAGGGCCCCTCACGCCAGCGGAAGCGGAGGCCCCGGCTTCCCTCAGCGATTTCTCCCCGAAGCGTGAAGTCAAAAGCTCAGAGCTCTCACCAAAAGCCGAGAAAGCAATCAGCCCACAAAACCAAAACTTGGGGAAATCTATACACTCTGAAAGGGCTGAAGCTGTTACCAGTCGTTGGAGAGCCAAAGAAACCCGAATGAGAAACTCCACTGCGGCTCCCTGCCTTGAGGGGCTGAGGAGAGGGCCGGGGTATGGGCCCCCACCTGGCTCATCGGCCCCGGGCCTGGGCCAGGCCTCCCTCCCACTCTCTGCGGCCCCACGCGCGCCCTGAGTCCCACCGCAGAGCTCAGGGGCCAGGCAGGAGTCAGCAGAGGGGCTGACCACGTCCTCACGTCCAGCCTCTCTGTGCCACAGCCTGGGCCTGGCCCTCGAGGTGGAAGCGTAGATGACATGGGGTGGCAGGAATCCCTGCCCCGCTAGGAATCCCTGCCCAGCTCCCCGTCCCTGGAAGCCACAGTTCTCCCTGCTGACGGACCCCAGACCCAGGGAGACTCCCTGCTACTTGCCACCCCCACCCCTGGGCGTCTGCTCCAGGGAGGAAGCCTGTGGGTCTCAGCACTGCCTGACCAGAGGCTGCTAGGGCAGGACTTGGCTGCTCCCTCCCAGGGCACAGGCTGGGGCAGTGCAGGGAGCCTCCCGGGGGGCTCGTGCTCTTCCTGTTATAGAGCAACCCCGATATTAAACGGGTTCCTGGCTGTGGGTCCTCACCCGCGCGCTTTAAAGGGACTTATGAATACTCTACTACAGACACACGCAAAAAGGTTAATAAAAAGCTTATTTACAAGAGGAAAGGAAATAAGGAAAATGTACAACTCAGGGAGAAAATAGGGAAATAAAGTCTTTAATGCGTCCTACCCGATCCGACGACCTGGAAACCCAAAGTCACTCTCAGGGCTGGCCGGACGCTGCGAGCTGGTGGAGAGCCAAAATGGGGTCCCCCGAAGTCCATGTGTCTGCCTTTTATATCCACCTGGCTGCTTAACCCCACTCTCAGGTCCCAGCCACCTTCCCTTGGGTGGTGATGGGATTTGGAGTTCCCAGTGTCTTTGGCTTTGACCTGGGGTGGGGGTGGAGTCCACAAAGCCTATATGGAATTTGCTTTGGGACAGCCTTTTCCCCCTAACATTCCCACCCCCTACATAGCTCTTCCCGCCCCTCCACATAGCCGCAGAGCCTGTGTGTTTGCTGACTAGACACTCACAGGCCGTTGCTCTGGGTGTCAGGGTGATGAGTTGTGTGGGGGACACCACGGGTCCACGCCAGTCCGCAGTCAGTGGCCGTGGCCTGCTGTCCTCTCAGTCGCCCAGCCTCGTGGTCCTCAGGCCTCACGGCCTCTTAGGGTAACCTGAGGGGCTCTTAAAAACTTGCCTTTTCTGGTCCCCCAGGTGGGTCGTGGGAGACCCCAGGTGCTTCTCGGGTCTGACTTTGTTCCAAGACTCCCCCGGTGGCAGAGCTCCCCCAGGCCTGAGCGGGCCCAGAGTGACGGGAGTGTGATGTTCAGTCACAGTGAGGGGGGCTTTGGGGTGGGAGCGGAGGGGAAACAGGGCTTTGAGGAGTGCCAGAGTCTTCGCCATTCGTTAGACGTCCTTAAGGCACGTGCAATTATAGCTCCTGCCGCCACCTGAGGATTAGGCCCTGGCCGTGCTTGCTGTTTTTGTTATATTGATGTAACAATGCCGTATTGTTTTAAAGCAGTTTGCTTGCTAGCAAGTTTTATAGGAATCTAAGGCATGTTTAGGAATCTGTCAATAACATTCCACAGGAAAACAATAGACATTTGTTGTAGAAATCCGGGCCTCCTCCCGCAGCCGTTCTCATCCCTCGGGGGCAGGGCAGGAAGGTGGCAGAGCCGACAGGGAGCCCTGGCCGCCCGGCGGAGCCGCAGACAGCACAGAGCCGCTTCCCTGCCAGGCTTGGCGGCTGAGCTGCTCCAACTTTGAAGCACAGTTGAACCCGGAGACCACACTTTCCAGGGAACCCCATCCCTGATACCAGACAGGGGCTTTCATGGCGAGTTGGAACAGAAAATGTATTTCAGGGCAAGATTTAAATAGAATCCCACCAAGGCCTTTGCGGCCTTTCACTTATTCACAGCACAATGGACTATTTTTGTGGAGTCCGGCATTATAACGTAGTTTAACTCCGGCTTCAGTTTTGCCGGGCCCGGACTGGGTGCTGGGTGAGGGAGCGCCCCCTTCTCTCTCCGTTATTCTCTTCAATCCCGGTCCCGAGCCTGACTTTGGCCTCACTGGCAGAATAGCGGGCACGTGGCCGCTCCCCTCTGCCGCCCCTGGCTCAGCGCTGGAAGGTGGGAGATAAGGAAGCGCCAGCCAGACAGACAGACAGACACTGCACACGGCCCGTGCACGCTAGCTCTGGGCGCTCATGTTTTCCAGGAAAAAACCTGCAAATGTAACCTCTTTCCTTTCAAAAGAGACCAAGATACGGGGAACAAATTAATTACAGAGTACACACCAACCAAAACCATTTAAAAAATTTCAGGGGACAGTATGAAAGAGCGCATCCCAACTGAAGAACAAAAAGCATAGTACTTTGTTTTAAAGATCAGTGAATAATGCTGTATTTTACTTTATGTTCAGGTAGGGTGGAGGAGAGAGTGGAGGCGGGAGATGGTAGTGGAGGAGGACAGGAGAAGCATGGAGTAGAGGAAAGCCGGAGGACAGGAGCAAAGACCATGCGCTGCCGGCTTGCTCGTGTCACCCGTGACGTTGGGCTGAGTGGTAGAGAGTTAAGACTTTCCATCGCTTCATTTGGGTTTTTTTGCAGAAATTGTGGAGTTTCTTAAATTTTTTAATCGATTTTGTTCTTTTGCCCTGCCTTGGTAGTCGTGGGCAGTGCTGCTGTGAACACAGGTGTACGTGAGTCTGTCCCAATGAGAAGTTATTTTGTTGTTGTTGTTTTTTGGGGTGACAATACCTAGCAGAAGTATTGCTGGATCGTACAGGGTGGATCCATTTTTATTTTCATAGGACCTGTCCATGCTGGTCTCCATAGAGGCTGCGCCCACCTGCACCCCCACCTGCAGTGGACAAAGGGCCCTTTATTGCCACATCCTCGCCAACGTGCGTTGTTTCCATCCTTTGTGATATGGACCATGCTCACAGGGGTGAGGTGGCATCTCACGTGGCTAAGCGATGGCCCCCATTTTTCCAGATCCGGGGCTATCTGAATGGCTTCTTTAGAAAAATATGTATTTAGGTCTTTTGCCCATTTTTTTGGCTGGGTTGTCTGTTTTCGTGTTGTTGGATTGTCTTAGTACTTTGTAGCTTGGGAACCAGCCCCTCGTCAGATGTGTGACATGCAGGTATTTCCTCCCATTCTATAGTTTGCCTTTTTGTCTTTGTGATGATTTCTTCAAGATACAAAATGGACGTAATCCTGATGTTGACTCCCGTTTTGTTTCCCCGCCATTGGAAGGGTGTCCCCACTTGCATCTCCGTGCGGGGCGTCCCGAGTGCGCCCCCCTGTGTTTTCTTTCAAGTAATTTGTGGTTTGGGTTCTTATCTCTAGCTCTTGAATCAATTTTGGATTTTTGTGTATGGAGTTAAGTGGAGCCACTTGGGACCTTTCGTGGCTCCGTACAGATTTTATAATTATTCGATTTCCTTGAAAAAGTCTTTGGGATTTTGATAGGTATTACATTGAATCTGTAAGTAGCTTTAGGGAATCTGGCCATGTTCACGATGTTTGTTCTTCAGGTCTCTCATGCAGGGTATTTCCCCCCAGTGATTCTATCAGTTTCTTCGTTTCTTTGTGTGCCTCGAAAGTTCTAGATTTTTGGTTGTGATTACCAAGGAATGATGCGTGACTCACTATGTCTAAAAAAGCCCTCGATGAGCTGGAGTCAGCCCTCTGGCGCTTACCTCTGCGGGTCATGCCCGTTTCTCCCTCCCATTTAGTATTTTGTTGTTGACTCTCCGTATTCTCGCTCAAGCGTCTGATTTTATATTCCTGTTGTCATTTTACTCGGGGTTTTGTGTTTTGGTTTATTTTCTTGTAGAAACAGTTCTTGAAGGCCAGGTGTGGTGGTGATAAACTCTACTACCATCAGGGGGAAACTTTCGCCTTCCTATTTTGAATGATAATTTTGTAGGATAGGGTCTCCTTGGCTGGAAGTTCTTTTCTTCCAGGACAGCGAGCACCTTCTTGCTGGAGACGGGGACGGAATCTCAGGGAAGCCTGATTTGGAATCCACTGTAAATTGTCTTTATCCTAAGCTTCCTGTAAATTTTTTTTTTTGTCTTTGATTTTTGATAACTTGACAGTGACGTGTCTTGGTGCAGGTCATTTTATATTTAGAAACGTGGGTGTTCTCTCTGCTTCTTGGACATCATGTTTAATTCATTCTTTAGGTTTGGGAAATCGGAATGCCCATTGTCTTGATGTTTCCTCTTCTAAAGTGAGTCTGCTGTTTCTCCGAGTGTCTCTCTTTTCCTAATTGAGTGGTTTGTTACATTTGAGTCTTTTATTTCTGAAATTATTTCTTCTACCAGTTTAATGCTATTTAAAGCACTTTCTAGATATGTCCTTGTTTCAGAGTCTCCCTTTGTGTTCTTTTAATGCCGCCAGTGGTTCTGGTGAGGAACTCGCTCCACTCTTCCAGCTCCTTTCTACAATCTTGCACGTGCCTCTCTGCCTTTGACTAACCTTCCAGCAGCTCATTTTTTTTTTAAATAATAAATTTTATTGTTATATTCCCCATACAATTGCAGCCCCCCCATTCTGACCCCAATCCCTCCCCTCCCGCCCCGCCCCCCTAAAAGTGTCTCTAGTTCATAGTTTTTTGTTGATTTTGATTTTCACTTTCTTAAAGTTATTCATTTTCCTGGTCCCTTATTTAAGTTTTCTAGATTCCTGCTATGAGTGAGACCATCCGGTATTTTTCTTTTTCTTTTTGGCTTATTTCGCTGAGCATGAGCCCTTCCAGCGCCATCCATGTTGCTGCAAATGGCATGTGTTTATCTTTTTTGAATGCTGAGTAATATTCCATGGTGTATATGGACCACATCTTCTTGATCCAGTCATCTATTTTTGGGCATTTGGGTTGTTTCCAAAGCTTAGCTATTGTAAACAGTGCTCCAGCAGCTCATTTAGCATTTTTAATATTTGTTCTTTCAACTTCTTCGTCTGATCGGTCCTCGACTTCTGTATCCTGTGTGCATGTCCCACATCTTCTCTTATCCTTTGCTTTTCCACCTTGTGTTCAGATGTCCCTTGCTTCCTGCGCGTGTGTGCTAAGGGTAGATGCTATTTTTGTGGTTGAGGAGCTCCAGGCTTTTTTCTGTTTGTTTCTCTTGCTAGTTCACCTTGGCATGAGGTGGGGGCAGGAACGGTTTCTGGGGCTTAAATACTTGATCTCAGTTCTGTTGGGGAGTGAGGTCGGTGACCTCTGCCTCCCCGACCCCTCTGCTCCCTTCTCCTGTGGATGGAGCTCTCTGGAGTTCCATCACCTGGCGACGGGGTCCTCTCTGGTCCACAGAGCTCACACTCGGGACTCACTGGGCCTGGCAAGCAGGAGGTATGTGTGTGCGTTGTCTGCCTGTGCAGCAGAAAGGGCGCCAGAGTAGCCGCCAGCTCAGTAGCCCCCACTCTGAGGGCCCAGGGCTGCCAGCTCCGGAGCCCCGGCTGCTGCTTTCCAAGGGGCTGGTGACTTGTGTCTCTCCAGGGCGTCTCTCTGCTGTGAGCTGATGCAGCCCCGCCTGGCTCTGCGGGGCCTGTGCTCACTTACTTCTGTGTGGGGGGAGAGCCTCCTGGCCGCAGGACCTGATGTTCCTGACATCCCAGGCGGGGTGACTGACTCCTTTTCTGAACAGCCCTCCAGGGAAGTCTGCAGTGCCCGCCCCGGGGCCTGGGCCCGCCTGCTCAGTCCACCGACTGCACCCTCTGCTCTCCCTGCCACTCTCTCCTTCACGTCCTCCCGAACTTCCCTGCAACAAGCCAGAGCCTAGTGCCAAGTCCTCCGTGGGAAAGTCCTGGGCCTGGCAGGGAGCTTTCAAGTCTCCTTTTGAGCAAATACTGTCTTTATAGATGTTTTTAGGGGGAAAGGTGATGCCAGCCTCTCTGTTCTGCCACCATGTGGGTCGAACCCGGTCATTTAGTTTGAAATTAGCAGCCATAAACTAGTCTGTTTTTAATTCTGTTTTTATGGTAGTTATTCTCTCTTGTTTAATGTATTGAATTCATTTTTTTATTGAGGTAACACTGTCTTCCCAGCTGTGTATGATTCACAGGAAGAGGATCACACCCTTTGCCGGGCGTGTCACCACCACCCCCCCCAGGACCCGGGGCCCATCCAGCTCCGGCCTGTCCCTCCCCCCCCCCCCCCCCCGCCCCCTCTGGCAGCTGCAATTCCAGAGTCAGATTTCTGGGGTTTGTTACTGGCTTGGTTTTACCTGGTCCTGTGCTTTGTGTCTCTGTGTTCCACATATGTGAGGAACCATCTGGTATTTGTCTCTCCCCGGATTTCATTTAGCATCACCCCCTCCGGTTCCATCCGTGTTGTCACCAGCGACAGGAGTTTTTCTTTTTTAGTAGTCCTGCTTTTATTCTTAAATGTTCAAGTTTATATCTGAAAACAGCTCATGATACTCTTTCATTTTGAAATGCTAAGTTTATTTCTGAATTAAAGATTTCTTTTTCAATGAAATTCTGAAGGCTTTACTGAAATAGGAAGAAATTCCTTGGGCCTTAGAAATTCATGTTGACACAGCTTGAGATACGGCATTGCTCGCTAGTGCACGAAACCTCAGAATTTTTTTGATAAAATAAACCCTTTGTCTCAACTAAGTTGTTAGATATATTTCATTGGCACTTCGGGGTGCCAAAAATTTCATGGATAAATCCCTTCCCAAATAAATGGAATTAACTGATCATCAAAGTACTTTCCAGCATTCTTATCAAATATTCTAAATATGACAGTCATGCGAGCGCCATGCCTGATCCCGTTGTTTCGAGGACAGTCTTCGTTGGTTCGGAATTCATGCACTATAGGGGCTAAATTTGCATAAACTTCTGACTCAGTTTCTTCATTTGGCGAAGAACAACCAGCAGGCTTCCGGGGCCCTTTGCACACTGAGTCCACCGGGTGTTTAGTTCAGTGATTTGGTTGGTTTTGCTTTTATTCAAATGACATTATCATGAAATTTATTTTCTTAAGGTTCTTTAAGGCTTTTACTGCTTATTCAGCAGCATAAAATATTTACGGCAGTCGTACTTGAGGAAATACATTGCCGACTGAGCTGCATTTATCTAAGTAAACTGTGTTAGGAAAAGCGAGTTAAGGCGGCACTGTTTTGTTTTTTCGGATTCAACCCTTCACATTGAGATAAATATAAATTATGAAATGTTTTTCGCCAAATGAGCCCAGAGCCAGTTTTCTGCCGTATGATAGGTGCTGTTTCTCTGGGTGAGAATCTGGGGGGCAGCCAGGCAGAGCCCCCACCCCACAAGCAAAAGCTTGTCCCGGCAGCGCAGGTGACTAGGAGACCAGGGAGTGGCAGCAGAGAAGGCACTAGGCCATTTTTAAGAGAGCACCTGGCGGTCTGATGGGCCTCCGCCCCTCTCCCCCCAACACAAAGGCCTGGGTGGCACCAAGTCCCCTGCCAGGAGGTACCCTGGGAGCTGTGAGGGTGGCTGGAAGGTGGGCCTGCAGGACAGGACACTGCAGGGGCAGGATACTCGCCCTCCGCCGTAGCTGACAGGTGAGCTCATCTGTCCCTCCACCTGAGCGCGTTCAGCAAGGCAAGCAATTTTAGCTCCACTCACAACCCTCTTAAAACCAGAATCAATACTTCCCAGGTACTAGGAGGAGGTAATCAGCCAGCCACCGAGCCCCATGCTGCGGCTGCTCCTGGCAGAAATGAGAAGCACTGCGCCCCTGGGGTCCCCTGCTGGGTGTTGCTGCACAGCGTGTGGCCGAGGCTGCAGGCGCAAGTCCTGAGGTTGTCCAGGTCATTGGACTTTCGGTCCTCCTGCGAAATCACCCCTGTGACCTGCGCCCATCAGGGTGGAGAGCAAGGGCAGCATCCGAGGCCACTGGGGATCGGCCAGAAGTGGTTTCCCTCGGACAGACTGAGGACAAAGGACTGAGCCCGTGAATGATGAGAAATGAGACAGGAGTGTGTGGGGGCCGGGAGGGGGGTCCAGCCGAGCCGGCAGCAGGGAAAGGAGAGGCGGTGGCGTGGGCGTGAGCGCGGGTTTCTGGAGCGTGAGAGTCCAGTGGGAAGACCACCCGCGGCTGAGACAGCCTAGAGACCAGCTCCTACTCGTTTGTACGCTGGCGTTCTCTGACTTCTTTTTTTTCCTTTTTTAACAGGATTGATAAAAAAATGTCTGGAGGCCAGAGCGGCTACGAACTCAGTGAAGCCAAGGCCATTCTAACCGAACTGAAATCTATCAGGAAGGCCATTAGCTCAGGAGAGAAAGAAAAACAAGACCTGATGCAGGTTCGTTGTGGAGCATAAGTCAAATCACTGTCTTCCGAGCAGGAGTTCTCCCTGCGAGCCGGGGTCCCTTCATCACGCGCCACCCCCTCGTACAGAATTTCATCTGCGGGAGATTGTTATGGGCGCTGAGGCCACCTGCTGCCTCAGAGAAGACCAGACTGTTTCCCGGGTTCTGATGGGCTTATTTGAAGCCAGGCTTTACGTGGCCCTTGAGATGGTGGGTGGTGGATCCCAGAGCCCATAGGAGCTCAGCCTCTTGTGTGCACCCGGGAGCTCACTGCACGTGGGACCCAGGTGAGCAGGCTGAAGCAGTGGTCCCCAGCCCAGGGCACACACAGGGTCTGTCAGTTGTCACCCGTTAGGGATGTGAGGAGCTTAAGAAGGCTTTCCCGAGCCCAGGTGACTCCAGGGGCTCACTGGGGGCTGGAGGGTGGAGGGGGGTAATGTTGGCCCACCTGGGGTCTCTATGGTCCCCTTAGGAAGGCTGTTCACACCTGTACAAGTCTCAGCTTTTGGGTCTTAGCTTCAAGGGACCCCAGGTCATTTGAATATCCATCCTGAGCAGAGGAGAGTCAAGGTTTTTTTTTTTAAGCATGTATCTCTTCCCCCGCCTCCATCCCATAATTATCACAAGCACTGGGAATTCTCTGTGTTTCAGAGAGGTGGAGTTCTCTACTTAGCTCAGTAAGGGCTCAGTCTGTGTTTGGGAAAACAGCACAGCCGCGGCCGATGTTTGCATTCTCAGTAGAACCTCTGTGTCTAAACGCCATATTCCACTCCTCCATGTCAGCTTCAAACTGCTGTTTTCATATTGTAAATAGGCAAATGTTCTTGAACCCAGATAATTTTACATTTGGGAAATTTCGAAATGACTTGCAAGAGATCAAATAGAAAAGACAGCAGTAATAATAGCACATGCTGGTGAGTAATGACTTGGCGCCTGCCTTGGGTGGAAATAGTTCCTTTAATTCTCACAGCCACCCTGAAGATATGTGCAATTATTATCCTCAACTCACAGACTAGAAAACTGCAGTGCAGAGAAGATAACTAACTTATGTAAAGTCACACAACTGATTAACGGCAGGACCGGGGTTCAGACCCAGGCAAAGACTTGCTCCAGAATATGTACACATAACACGTGCAAAACTTCACTTGCATGTATTTTTTCTTCTACAGTGATCTATTCATTGGATCATTAAACTGTAATAGATTCTTTGAAAAAAAAAATAGTTAATGGGACTGGAAACAAATACACTTTGGAACCGTATAACTTAGCAATTTTAGATCACCTCTGAGTCTTCCTGTAAACTTTGGATTTACACACAAGCCAGATTCAATTAAAGACTAGAGTCTCCCCAGTTCCTGCAGCAGAGAAAGCAGCGAATGGGCCAGAAACCCAGGCGAGCTGAAAGAGACTTCTAACCCTCCTGACCGTGACCCACAGAAAGGGATAAATATTTCACTTTCAGACCTGCTGACACACAGTTGGAGCGGCTGAAAGTTCCGCAGTTTCGGGGTTCTATTCTTTGTCCCCACTTCCTAATCACTGACATCAGTTTGGGTGAAGTCATCTCTCAGGTTCTGTCCAGATGTGAAAGGCCGTAACCGCCATTCTTTTAAGTAGGGCCTTTCCGTGCTGCGGCCTGTGTGAGGCAGCATCCTAGGCAGGGCATGTTTCCACAGTTTCCACTATGGAAAGGGAGTAGTTCAGGAAACTTCTTTTCATGAAATTTTAAAAAGAAAAAATACATGTGTTCAATATAGAGAGACCATTATTCATGAGTGAACCGTTCCCCGGCCCCCTTGGGAAAGGTAAGATAACCTGTGTAGTGTCTCATACCTGCTTCCAAAGCACCTGTGTGTCTATGCAAAAGTGCATTCTACTCTTATTTTTCAATAATTTAAAGTGACACATACCTACTAAAATAAAGTGAAAATTGTTTTTTCCACTAAGATTCGCTTTTGCCATTAATTGTGCGTGGTGGGGAAGCTTTGCCCTCCTAGACGTTAAGATTTACGAAGGACTTTGTGTTTCCCGAACAGAGTCTTGCTAAGCTGCAGGAGCGGTTTCATCTGGATCAGGGTCTTGGACCAGCGGAACCGGACTTGAGATCCAGCCCAGTGAGCTCTCACTTGGCCCTCTCTAGACAGACCCTTGATGCAGGGTCACAGACAAGCATTTCCGGAGATGTGAGTGACACACATGGGAGGGCGGGCCCCGGCACTGCCCCCACAGGGACCTGATCAGAGCAGGACAGGTGGTCTGGATGCCACTGTGCACTTTCAGGATATTATGCTCAGAAGATTCGTTTAGAAAATCGTAGCCACCTTCTCTGGTTGCCAAGCACATCGGGATTTTGTTCAGATGTTCTCCTACTGGATGTATTTAGAGACACAGGAAAGTTTTCAGTTTTTCCTATGAAGTTTAGAGCCTTGGGAACTTAGTTCCTTTCAAATAAACATTAAACATGAAATAAACATGTTTCTCTAATGAGAAACATAGATCTATATACCTTTAAAAACTAACCAAAAACTTGGTTTTATGTATCTAAAGTTGATTCTATTGAGATATTCCATTGTGGTATATACCTGGCATTCTGAGACAGCTTACAGGCCTTACACGTCATGAGCTCTTGTCCTTCTTCCTTTTGGGGTGCCATTTGCTGATATCTACTTTTTTTTAAGATTTATTTTTTATTATTTATGCAAGAGCTGGGGTATGGGCCAGCGGCGTGGGAGGGTGAGAGGATTCACCAGAGACAGAGCAGGGAACAGAACAGGCAGACGGACCGAAAGCACTGCTGAGGGGAGCAGCGGGCGAGACAGGAGAGGTCTGCCGTGCTATATGGGTTTCTCCTTGGCCAGCTGGGGATAGAACCCGCGCTGCGGGGGTTGCGAACAGCTTCACAGCATGGCACTCAACCCGCTGCGCCACTGGGGAGGCCCTGGGATATTTACTTTTTAATAAGTTCCCAGATTTTTTCTTATTCTCTTCTGCTTCTTTGAATTCTGCGCTATGAAAGTAAAGCAGAGATCAACAGTAGGGCTTACCTGTTTGTTTTAATTTTTCAGTGATTTAGTTCATAGTGTATGCAGTTGAAAGCTAACTAAATGATGGAAATTTTGGCTCATGGAGACTAGGAAATTAGTTCCAGTTCATAAATTTTATTGACCTGGACAGCCTTCATAAACCCTTAGATACCAGAAACATTTACCTGACATATTTTTTAACCTCAAATTTAATGTGTGGGGAAAAGGATGTGAAAATCTTTGAAAAACAGACAAGCCAGAATTTGAAAGAAACATTTGCCCCCACCGAGAGGTTAAAGCAGGTGCCTTTCCAGCCCTCCCCCGCGCTCTGCGCCCTCTTGGTGAGCGATCCCATTACCTGTGCTGCCCAGAGACAGAAGCAGTTTACTTCCTTCATTGGGGGCGTCATTGACTTTTCCCCTTTTTGTTTCCCACCAGATCGCCATGAGAAGTAGATCCAACTTAGCGGAAAAGGTCAGACTCAGCCTCCAATATGAGGAAGCCAAAAGAAGGTACCAGCAGGGGGCAGTCCAGCTGGGTGGCCAGCGGCTCCGCCAGGGCTGCTGGGTGCTCCCCGCGGGTCCTGACCAAGGTCACCCGTGAGTCTGGTGGAATGTGAGGGTCCCTGCGCCCCCTCTGTCGCTCCGTTCCTTTCCCGTCCTCCCCACCCTAAGGACAGTCCTGAGCAGTGTGGGGATGCGTGCGTCCCTTCTCTGGAAGAAAGCGGCTCTGAGTTGGGACAATACTTATAATTAAAAGTGAGAAGGTTGGTTTCTCAGATAGAAACTTGATCCTGGGCTCTGGCACGGCCTTGAGAGCTGCGGAGTCCCCGGGGAAGCGCCTTTCAGGGTGTCCTCGGCTCTGACGGAGACCGGGTGCGGATCCCCCAGGGTGCTGAGGTGTCTGTGCTTCAGGAAGAAGGAAGAGAGATTCTTATTTCCCCACTTTATCTTAGAAACGCTTATTAACCCCTGTGCTGCCTCTTCTTAGAGATGGAGGGGCAGCGAGAGAGGAAGATCTGTGTGTGACGGACGTGCAGCGGCAATCACCATGACAGTGAGCCAAGGGTTAGGTTTGGGTTAAGGGACTTAGCCATCTGGTTGTGGACCTGTGAGTACTTGATTCACATGTGTGTGTGTGTGTGTGTGTGTGTGTAAGTGCGTCTCCACGATCCTTTCAGCATACCTACGGGTTTTGTTTCCTACAAAATAATTGTCAAAATCAGGAAATTTGTCCTAATCCTGTTATCTGATCTGCAGCCCACCTGAGGTCTTATCTATTGTTCCAATAATGTCCTTTACAGCAAAATATAAAAAACCCAACCTCAGGTATGTCTCTTAGTTTCCTTATCTGGAGGAGTTCTGAGGCTCTGCATTTCATGACTTCAGCGTTTTTTGAAGCCAGTCATTTGAGTTCTTGTGTGTTTGTTTTTTAATATGCAATAATTTGTTTTTCTTTTTACCTTTTGACCCCCTTCGGCCATTGCGCCCATCCCCCACCTTTGGCAAACCGCCATGTTCTCTGTCTCCAGCTCCGTGGTTTTTTGTTCAGATCCCACATATAAGGGAGATCATTAGATATGTGTTGTTCTTGACCTGACTCATGTCACTTAGCAGAATGCCCTCGAGGTCCATGTTACTGCAAATGGCAAGATTTCGTTCCTTTTTCATGGCTGAATAATATCTCATTGTAGATACAGTCCTGTGTTGCTTAATGTTGGGATCCATTTTGAGGTACGTGTCATTGGGCAGACGTCATGTGGGGTCTCCTGCACATCCCGACTGTCTGGCGCAGCCTGTGGGGACTGCCAACACCTGTGTGGCCAAAATGTTGCTAAGTGACCCCCGACTGCATACGCCATGCTTTCTGTATCCACTCATCCAGCTGGCGTGGTTAGCAGGACTTGGTTATTGTGAAAATGCCACAGTGAACTTAGGGATGCGTGTCTCTTTGCAAGTTAGTCTTTGTTTTCTTCAAGTGAGTACCCCAAGGTAGAATTGCTGAATAATATGGTAGATGTAGTTTAAATATTTTGCGGACCCTCCATTCAGTTTTTCTTTAGGGACCAGACCAATTTCTGTTCCCACCCAGAGTCCGTGAGGGTGTAAGGGCCGCATCTTTCTGGCAGGAGCCGTGGTGGCAGGTGGGAGCTGACTTCTCACTACGGTTTGGATTTGTGTCTTCTTGGTGGCTGGTGACTTGGCATCATCCCTGTGCCTTCCGGCCACAGGTGTCTCCTTCGGAGAAATGTCTCTTCCGATCTTTTGTCCAGGTCTTAAGTTGGTGGTTTCTTTTGTTCTTTCTGCCATTGAGTTGAATGAGTTCTTTGTATATTATAGATATTAACTCCTTATCAGATAGGTGATTTGCAGATATTTTCTGGCATTCTAGAGGCAGAAAATTCTGTATTCATTTTGTTGATGGTTTCTTTGGCCGGGTAGGAACTTTCTAGTTTGAGGTCGTCTCGCTTTTTGGTTTTGCTTTTGTTGCTGTTGGTATTAGATTCAAGCAGTCACCACCAAAATCTCTGTCAGAGAGATTTGTCCCCCGGGAGTCCTGTGGTTTAAGGTCTTTAATCCATTTGGAGTTAATGTTCTTGGGTGGCACACGGCAGAGGTCCGTCTTTTTCCTCCTCTTTGACTCTGCCTGGGTGACCTTGAGCTTCACCGTCTTCGTGTTGTGTCAGACCCAGCTTGTTTTCGACACGTAGAGCCCCATGCTTATTTCAAGAGTCACACTGATACATTTGGTTTCTATATTTTCCTGTTGAATTGCTTAAAAATGCTATTGATTTTTTATTCAGGAAGACATTGGGGGGGACCTGTTATCTCCCCGCAGGGGCCGAGGCATTTGGCACGTCCCTCCTTGTGGGCCTGGGACGCTCAGCTGAGAACCTTTTGGTGTCAGGGTTTCCTCCCACAAGGAAGAGCATCAGATAGCGGCAGAAGGATGTCCACTATTCTGGGAGATGGTGGTGATTTAAAAGTAATTGACCGTCGTTCTCAGAGGTTATCTGGCTTTGACAGAGTAATTACATGATCTGCTCAAAGACAATTTTTAGCATCATCGTCTCGGTTACTAATATTTACTTGGTTCTTTGATTTACTGAAAGAACCCTAAACTTTCGTCCACAAATCACTAACTGTCTGAGCTTGAGCAAGTCACTGAGTCCCCTGCACGTTTTACTTGGCTCATTTTAACGCCTGTCAATTAGATGATCAATTTCTTGCGGTTGGGAAGAGTCGTGCGTACTTGGTTGTCTGCTTCTCAGCGTCCGGCTGGCGTCCTGTCCTCACCAAGGACTTCGGACTCTCTCAGGACCGAAGCTGGCGATGGGATGCCTCTGTGGACGCTGCCAGCATCCCCTGGTGGTGGGCGTACCCCCAACCCCTGCGTCCTCCGTAAACCACACCCGGGATTTGCTTAACCCTGGAGAGCCAGGCGCCTGCCCTGGGGTCGCGGGCTTGCCTGGGTCCAGGGACCTGGGCTATGCTTTGGCTGCAAACAGTCCCTTTCTACTTGAGCTTACGCAGCATTTTCCCTGCTGAGGTGTCCCAGGAAATCTTCCAGATAAGCTTGCAGACCCACTGCATGCCTCGACTGCACAAGACATGGTGCCATTCCTCGCCCTGTTGGTTAATTCCATCCAGATTCACGACACTGCTCCTTCCCTTTGGTTGCCACGCCGTCCTGTTACCCCGCTTGGGCTTTTATTTAAAGTTACTGGCGATGCTGATGAGGGGCTAAATCTCAAGGGCTGGTGCATGTGTTGAAAGGCTTCTTATTCCTTAGTTCTGAATAAGTAAAGAGCCGGGTTGTGTATCTCTGAAACCTGTTTTCTCCTTCCAGCCTTTGTTTTATGCGCTTAATGAAGCTAATAATATCATGCTTATTTAGCATTTTGATGATTAATTTTCCAGTATGTTGAGACAGTTGTGTATGGTTTTGTGGATAAAGCTAAAGAACAGCTGATGTTACATCTATCATAAGTGCAGACGGTGGGTGAAATTCACCAGCACCTCGGATATGCAGCGCCAGTCTAAGGCTGCAGTTTTAGTTTGACCAAAACAAGAGACTTACGGCCCGGGAATGTGGAACTGCTTCCACCTTTGCTCCTGATAACATGTTTGTTCATCTTTTCTCTTCCCTCTACAAAAAGGAAAAGGCATTCCTTCCTGACAGCTCTTTGGCTGCAGGGTGGGCCGGGACGGTGCCCGACGTTTGGCCAGGCAGCTCCCCGCACGCACGTGGGCTCCTGTGTTGTTGACTCACTGCACCCCCTTGCAGAGGACACCGTTGTCCTCGGGCCCACAGTGCAGGCTGGATGATTCGGGCGTTGGGACGTTCTCAGAGTTGGGATGAGGGTCTCGATGCTGAAATCTGGGGCTGGGTAAATTCCTGAAGCCAGAGACATTGCCCTGCGCCCTCCTCCTCCTCCCGTCCCCCCATTGGCACCTGTGTTCCCGCCAGGGGGCCCCTCAGCCGCCTGTGCTGGTGAGCAACCCCCCCTCACCCCCACCATCGTGACAGCTCAGCAGGCGTGTGGACGCCTCCAAGGCCCCGACCTCCAGGGAGAAGATCTCCATCCTCTGAGGCCAGGGCAGGCAAGCCAGGCCTGCGCCCTGCCTCTTGGCTGTGGTGGGCCCTGTTGGCCTCGCTTGGTTAAAACAGTGCCTTCTCCGATTGGCACATGTCCCGGTGCCCAGTTTCCCCGGGTCAGTGTCTTTACCCTGAGGAGCGAAGTCTATAACAAAGATAACACAGGCATTTCGGGGACCACTTACCACAGTGGTTTGTTTTGTCTTTAATGGAGGAGCCCAGGTTCACACCCCACGAGGCAGGTGCAGGGCAGGACTGGCCCCGTGCTGGGGGAGCTGCCTGCCCTGTAAGCACGCGTGCGCTTTGACCTCTGTCCAGCTGTCCTCCTTTTAAAGGTGGGGACGGGAAGCCGAGGAGGAGGAGGTGTGCAGTGGGGCAGCCCCAGCCCTCAGCGCTCCCTGGGAGGGTCCTGGGCACCCGCGCCTTGGCCAGCGTCCCCTTCCCTCGCGTGTGCGCTCAGCTCTGCCCCTCTGTCCCAGCATGGCCAACTTGAAAATCGAACTGTCAAAACTGGATGGTGAGGCCTGGCCGGGGACACTGGATGTCGAGAAGGAGAAGCTGATGCTGATTCATGAGAAAGAAGAGCTGTTGAAGGAGCTGCAGTTCGTCACGCCACAGACGCGCTCCCCAGACGAGCTGGAACGCCTGGAGGCCGAGAGGCAGCGGCTGGAGGAGGAGCTGCTGCCCGTGCGGGGTGCTCCCAGCCCAGCGCTGGCCGAGAGGTGCGTCTCCGAGGGCGGGTCCGGGCCGGCAACCAGACCACGCCATGTCCAGGTCTGGACGCCTCTGTGTCTGGGACTGAGACCAGCAGTGGCCCCCCTCCCCAGTCCCTCCGGGCCCCAGGGCTGTGGGAGATCCCATGACAGACAGTGGATAACGCAGGGAGGGTGACGTGACCCCAGGGACGCGGCTCAGTGAGCGCTCCTGCCCACGCAGTGGACGCCTGGGTGTCCCACAAGGACGGCAGCGTGGACGGTCCCGGCCCCCCGGGCGCCCTTGGCTCTCACTACGCACGAGAACGCAGACGTTTCTTGCTTTTCGTTCGAAAGCCCTTGGGTGACACAGAGTGGCTTGTCCAGACCCAGGAGGCTGGGGGCTCCGGGAAGGGGACCCGTTTCGCACTCACCCGTGGGGGTCGCGCGTCTCCTGAGCCCCGGGCTGTGCCCTGACGCGGCAGGCGCCGTCCCCACCACGACCGGGTGTTAGTACGAGGGGAGTGATGTGTTTTACGGGTTGATTTTCTGAGTCATTGGAAAGCATCGAATCATTTATGATTAGCGTTGCCAAAAAGAAAGGAACGTGAATTTCCTCTTCATTGTCCGTGACCAGAAGCCTCCGCAGAGGCCCTTGGCGTGTGGGGCGTGGGCACCCGCGCCCCGACTTTAGTGACTGCAGGTTTCCTGCTGCTCCCCTGGGTGCAGCTGGCCCCGAAGCACCCGTATTTCACTGCACCCGGAGCCCAGAGCCTCCTCCCGAGGTGAGCGGCCCTTCCCTCGCCTGCGGGCATGTGTGGCCGCCCTGGGTCCCCTGGTGTCGCTGCCGTGTGCTGTCCATTTTCTCCTTCTTCACCCCTGGTTCTTTCTTCCCCCTCCCGGCTCTTTCTGCATCTGACCAACGCTGTTGACCCAGAACGGGGACGCGAAGGCGGCTGCAGCCAGGACAGTCCTGGGGTCGGGTCCTCCTGGGAGCAGGGCCGGGGCGCAGCTTCCTCCCTGCCCTCTGGGGCTTCCCCTCTGCTTGGAGAACAAGACCAAGACAGAAGCCAGGCCCCGGGAGCAGGGCAGAGGGAGGACTGTCCCCCGATGGGCACAGCCGAAGCTTTGGGTTCTGCTTTGCAGTTTGAAACACGTTCAGGACCAGCTTCTGGTGCCCCGCCCGCAGCCCCCGCGGAACACCAGAGGAGCCGCTAGCTGCCCGTGCAAGGCTTAGTTTCAAAACTGACTTCAAAAGCGTTTTCTTGAGACTGCTTCAGAAGACATGGGTTTTAGTAGATTTGGGGGACGTTCTCCAGGACTTTATGTTCCCCCTAATTCAGTTAATCTACTTTGTATTCATTTTTCTTCCTTGTTGAGTTTTTGTTCACGTTTATGAGATTAAAACTTAGGGACTGTGTTCCTCTTCAAAATACCTCTCTGGAAGCTGCGAATTCAGGATTTATCAGCCTTTGAAGTCGTGAACAAAATGACGAGAATTCCTTTTTGTGCTTTAACAATCAGTGAAGTTGTGTTGGTGACTCATCAAAGAGCAGGGGCTGGTGATAAAATGCAGACTCACTTCCTGCGGCCTGATACACACCTCACGTTTCAGAGAGGCCAGGATCAGGGGTATTGGGAGGCTCCACACAAAAGCAGCTCCTTTCCCCCCAACCCAGGGCAAGCCTCCTGTCTCTGGCTGCCAGGCTTTGTGGCAGATGTTGCTCTTTGAACCCCTTTAGTGACCTCAGGCAGCAGCACCCCAGGCCTTATACCACTTAAGAGATGAGAAAGGCGAAACCTTGAAGAAGCGGCCGAGCAGCACGGCCAGGACTCGGGCCTGTGGAGGCCCCTGGACCCCACTCTGCTGCCCACTTGCCTGCCCCGAACAGGCGCCTCTTGCTGAGGCGCAAGCCCTGGAGCTGCCATGGAGAGTCTCCAGCGAGCCCTGGGCTTGGAGCTCCTTAAATGTGGCTCCCCAACCACGTAATTCTATCAGACTCGGATTTCTAAAAATCTCATAGATACGGGTGCAGCTGAATGGGGGTGAAATTTGGTGGTGACCTGGGGTAGGTGGTGAGATGCGCTGCAGGCAGGAAAGGAAATCACCTTTGCTTCTTTTTCTTGCTAAAATAGGTAAGCCACAAATTGTTAGCTCCCAATAGCACTGTGGACTGACATTTTGTAATTGCTGAAATACTAGCATCTACTTAATAATCGCTGAGTGTTATTCTGGAGCCAACTTTCCCCAAATTGAGTATTTAGGATGATCTTCGCTGGGTTTTTTTTTTGTCGCTGAAGGTTTTAGTGACATGAATTCAAAGGAAGTAGAGGTGCCTTACCCTTTTAAGAAAATTCTAGAATACCAAAAAGTTTGGAGTGTTTGGCAGTGCTGGAGGTTTGAAATCCTCCTCTTTATTTGGCTTGGGGCTGGCTGGTCCTGCCACTCTGCTTCTCGCCTGTTGCTGCATTTTCTCTCGAGTTCATCTGGGATCCCCCTCCTGTACCCTTGCATAACAAGAATCCTTTCCTTTCTGTCAGTTTTCATGCCTTGTTGTAATCCCTTGAAAATAAATTCCCTTGTGTGATTTTTCTAGATTGAAATTAGAAGAACGGAGAAAAGAGCTGCTGCAGAAACTTGAAGAAACTACTAAATTAACTACTTATTTGCATTCACAACTTAAAAGGTACACCTGTTTGAGTCCTGAGGGGCAACAATTTGGGTGCAGCCTAGTTCATCTTTGATCACTTTGTATTTTTAACTCTTCAACACTAAATAAAATAGTGGAACTAGTACAGTTTAAGACCGAGGTGATCAAATTTAAATGTTGCACAGAGTTTTTTCATGGACCCCAAGGTCATATCTGAAGTGAGTTTGGAGTGTGTCGTGGGAAGAAGATAGAGCTCAGGTCTCAGTACCTTCCGATGAGGATGACAAGTCTCTCCACATCACCCCTGCTTTTTAAGAGGGGTTGAGGCAGGGGTGGGGTGGGGACTTGCCTTAAAGAGTTCCCCATGTGGTCGGTCACTCCCGCTCAGCACAGAGAGGACGAAGGTGAGCACTCAGGGGCCTCTCTCTCGACAAGCTTGCCTTTTTCTACATCAGAATTTTTTTCTTGAAGCAAAATAACTATAGAGTTTACGCCCTCCCCCAGCTATATGTGAAGTTGCACAGCTGCTTGTAACTCTCTGCAGGGAGATTTGTCCACCAGTATTTGATATTCTTTTTAACTTTTGCAAAAGAGCCGTGATTTTTAACAGTAGAATTGCTGTTTAAAGAACACTTCGAGAGCCTGCTCGGAGATGTTCGTGGGTGAACACGGAGTGAGGAGGGAGAGGCTCCTTGCCCTGGCCCCAAAGCCCTTCCCTGTCCGGGCTCCTTCCTCCCAAGGGGAGCAGGGGCCGTGCTTGGCTTCTGCACAGCGGCGCGTCTCTCCAGCCTGTGTTTCCCCGCAGCCTCTCCACCAGCACCCTGTCTGTGTCGTCCGGGAGCAGCCTAGGCTCCCTGGCCTCCAGCCGCGGCTCCCTCAACACCTCCAGCCGGGGCTCGCTCAACTCCCTCAGCTCCAGCGAGCTCTACTACACCAGCCCGGGGGACCAGCTGGACGTGGACTACCAGTACAAGCTGGACTTCCTGCTGCAGGACAAGGGGGGCTACATGCCCTCCGGCCCCATCACCACCATCCATGAGAACGAAGTGGCCAAGTCCCCCGGCCAGCCCGGCCAGGGTGGCTCCAGTGGGGCGGCCACGGCCACCGGCCACACGCCCCCAGCCACTGAGGCCCCCAAGTCGGTGACCTCCCTGTCCTCCCGCTCCTCCCTGTCCTCGCTGTCCCCGCCCAGCTCGCCCTTGGTTCTAGAGGGCACATTCCCCATGTCCTCCCACGACGCCCCCCTCCACCAGTTCACTGCCGACTTCGAGGACTGTGAGCTGAGCAGCCATTTTGCAGACCTGGGCCTGGGCGAAAATCAGCTCTTGCTGGACTCTGAGGCGGGCGGCGCCTCCCGGCCACTGCTGGAGGAGTCTGGCGGGGCCAGGGAGCCGCTGTATGGAGGAGCTGCAGGTAAGTGGCAGCCTCAGTCTGGGCGCCCTCTGAGCCGTCTTCAGGAGGAGGGCGGGGGGTCGCCCACTCCACAGAAGTGGGGTGCGGCGCTTGCTCTCGCACTGCTGGTGCAGCACAGCAGCCACGGCATGGCCTGTGCCCAGTAGCCCCCCTGGCATGAGGTGGAGCGACCGAGCACCTGCTCTCTGGCCCAGAAGCCTCTGCGTGTCGCAGCTGCCAGCAAGCATGTTGGGCGAACCCACTTCATCCATGCAAATAGGTGCTGGTCCTGAAATTGCAAGGGAAGGAAGACCTTCTTTTAAAAGTTGGCCTAAAACAGATTAAAACCCACGCAATTAGCATACCAGCTAATTAGTACCAGGGTTCAATGTTCCGATCGCTCGGGGAATGCTGTATAAGTACAACTCTCCTTTCGTGCCAGGCTCCATCTGCCCGTGTGGAGCCAGGGCCGGTGCCCGTGAGCTGGGGTGCGCTGCCATCTGCTGGCCGCCCTGCTGGTTGCAGCCCCGGAAGAGGACCAGGCTCAGAGGCAGAAATAGGGGAGATTGAAGATTTTCAGACTGTTTTCTTTTGCAAGGCAGAAACGTGTCATAGAGTCAATGTGGCTGTAAAGGAAGCAGGGCAGTGCCCTTGCTGGCAGCTGATGGCCGCTTGGTGCAAGGAGGAGGGCCCAATGCTGGAAATGAAATGGGAAATGCAGGCCCCCGGGCTGGTCCCGGGAGCCCTGCTCAGGTCTGCGCTCGGCCTGTGTCCATAGTCAGACCAGACAGCCTCATTCAAAGTGATTGTGTGTGTGTACATGTGCTTAGTGTTTATCCTCTTAGGAATTCTAAGTATTCATTGATTGGCCAACTCAGATGTTTAAGGAGATAGATGAGTCTGACTCGTGGTCTGGTTTCAGAGCCTGAAACCCACCTGCCTGGGGAAGGGGCGGAGCCCAGGGCCCGGGGCAGGGAGAAGGCAGGTCCCGGAGCCCTTGGTGTGGTTTGTGCGCTCCAGCCTGGCAGGTGCTTGAGCTATAAGAAAAGTCTTATTGAACAAATCGACATCCAAAAAAAAAAGTGCAGAAACGGTGTTGACATACTGGCCCCAACTAGCAGAAACCTGCCAGGGGCTCCTGTGCCTCTGGGAATGCGCTCATTGCGGGGGGTCACCCCCTGGAGCCACCACACACCTGCAATTTGGCTGCCCGCTGACTGGTCATGTGCTGGGGAGCACGTCACCTGCATGGCAAGACTGTTCTGAATCATGTGCAAAATGGGGTTCACCCAGGATGGACCTTGTGGGTCCTGGGAGGCTGGTGCATCCATAGCACCCCTATGCCTGGCACTGGGCACCCCGCCCAGGCCACTGTCACCACGCAGGGGTGAGAAACAACACAGGCCTCAGAGCAGACTCCTTACCACACCGCGCTGACACTGGGGAGCGGAGAACCAGGAGCGGGGTTTTGTCCCTTTGCCATGGAAGAGCTTCCTTCTCCCGAGCGTTTCAGAGCTGCTCGGCTCTTGGCGTGTTTGGCGTGTCCTCTGGGGACCACGTCTCAACACTCCATCGCTTGGGGGGGCCAGGGAGTGAGGACTGTGCCGAAAGCTGCCCAGGCCGTCCCTGCCCAGCCCCTGCCTGCAGCATCCTGGCCCGGCCTCGCGCCTGCCCGGGCAGGGTCCACTGCCTCTGAGCCGTGCCTGGAGCCCGTCCCCCCAAGAGCCACGAAGCAGCCTCCAGCCATGACAGTGAGTATCACCTGAGAAAACTGCTGTGGAAAGGCCCCCCCCCCCGAGGCAGAATATGTCCACGTGTGTTCAAGACCTCGGTTGGTAAATCAGATTCAGCTGCGTGTGCGGAAACAGCAGGAAAGACCACTTCCCCGTGGGTCACCCGCTTGGTGGGGCCATGTCCACCCCCCAGTGCTGAAGACGTCCTGCCCCGCGCCCCAGCACCGTCCCTGCCGGGCCACAGGAACCAAGGTGGGGTAGCTAGCCACGGCCGGTCTCTGTCATGTCAGAGTTGGTTTCGCGGCCGTGGGCGATCAATATTCTGGGGGTGATCAATCACCCCTCCCGAGGGGGCTGGGCGAGCGCGCGCACTTCATCATCAAGGAGGACGCAGCCCGCTGCCAGCAATGAAAGGGGCCGTGCAGCCAGCCCGCCTGTAATCTGAAGCCTTGAAACTTGCACATCTTAACCAGACGTAGAGTCACGACGCAGAAGTGGGGCGCGATGCACAGCAATCCCGGCCGCGCTGGCCCCGCAGGAGGATGAGAGAAGCCACGGGCTTATTCCGCGGGAGCGCAGCGCTGAGTGGGCGCCTCGTTCACCGTGGGGTGCTGCTGGATGAAGATGAGCGAGAGAGAAGGTTCAGTGGTAGTTGCTGCTAAAGATTCGGGAGCACAAGGATTTTTCCACGGTACCCGCTGCTGAGAAATTCTGTATGTCCAGGACTTATTTGTCCTTTAACCTCCGTGACAGTCACAGCAGAGAAGGTGGAGCTCGGCCCGCGGGAGGAGGAGGCACAAGAGCCTCCGGCCCTGGAGTAGCCCCTGCCTGTTAGAAATGGAGCCACTCCCTGGGGCCAGAGCACCCCTCACCCCTGAGTCTGGGGGCTCTGCCGCCAGCACCCCAAAGGAGGCCAGAGAGGGGATGTGCAGTGTTCCCTTCCCTTAAAATATCTCAGGACAAAGAACAGCCATATTCTCCCGCAGCCGTGACCAAAATAGATGGTGACCCCGGAACTGACAAGCCACCCCGGCCTGAACCCGCTGCGTGCTCGCTGGGAGGTGGCGTCCCTGCTTCTCAGCTGGAAGTTTCATTTTGGATTTCTCATCGCCAGACTGCGTGCGTGTGTGTGTGTGTGTGTGTGTGTTTTATACACCGAACTCTTGCCAGTGAGAAGCCCTAATTAGTGCTATCACTTCCTTTCCTTAGATGTGGAAAAATCGTTACCGAAAAGAAGAGTCATCCACCTGCTTGGGGAGAAAACCGCGTGCGTGTCGGCGGCTGTGTCTGACGAGTCTGTGGCTGGGGACAGCGGGGTCTACGAGGCCTTCATCAAACAGTAAGGAGTCTGGGTGCTTTGCCGTACCTCCTCCTGGCCAGGCAGGGGTTCCATGCTGCAAAGGCATGCTGTTGCTCACCCCCTCCCCTCTTTTTGCAACAGTAAGGGCTGCGGTGTGAAAGAGATAGTGTCCCTAAAATGACATCAGCACCCTAAAAACATGCTGTCAGTCAGCCTGGGAAAGCATGCACGGGCCGGTGGCTCAAAGACAGCAGACCCTCTCTGAGGCTTAACCTGGGTGTCAGTGAGAACAGGCTTGGCCGGCACCTGCTCGGTGCTCGGAGCTTCTCCTGTACGTGTCCGGGGGCCTAGATAGTATTCCAGGGTGTGGGGTGCCATCGAGGCTCAGGAATGCCAGGCACAGAGTTGTTCCCATGAAGGCCCAGAAGTGGACTCTTGATGAGGGGAGGAAGACCACCAACAGTCAGCTTTCCCGGGCTCCATGCCTCTGAGGCGGTGGGTGGCAAAGGGCCACTGTAGATTCAGGTTTTCGTCGCCATGGACAGCAGTCACCATAGCAACCAATATCCCACTGATGAACCTTCTGTGCCCACTGTCCCCCCGCCCTGTCCCCATCCCCAGGCCCAGCGAAGTTGAAGATGCAACATACGGTGAAGAGGATATCGCCGTCATGGAGACTGCCCAGGTGCAAATTGGACTCAGGTAAAAGATTGAGCATGGGAGAAGGGGCGATTCTAGAACCTTCTGCAGTGCTTTTCCCTCACCTCATCAACATCTCTTTTGACAGATATGATGCAAAACGGTCCAGTTTCATGGTGATTCTAGCACAACTCCGAAATCTTCATGCCTTCTTGATACCTCACACTTCAAAAGTGTAAGTAAAACCGCCCGTATATGATAATTGTACACCGTAGTCAAGCAGTTCATCCAGTGAAGATCTGGAGAGGACTCGGCTGGGCCGATCGCGTCTCAGCATAAAGACCGAGAAGGAAGGAGCATGCAAGAAAAAGCAAATTGGGTTATTCTACCCATTCATTATTGAGAATAGGAACCAAGACGTTATCACCCTTTTCAACCAGAATTTCCGTCGTGTGCCATATTGGGACCTGGTTTTATTTAAAAATATAATTTTAATTTTCATAATGGCCTAATGGTGACTTCTGGGTTGGAGGAACTCCCTGGTCTTGTACATGAAAATGGAGTGTTGAAATTTCACCTGTCAGCCCAACCGGTGAGGGACCACCCCCACCCCCACCCCCACCCCCCCGCCACAGCAGGACAGGAGAAGCGCCCCTACCTTCTTTCCCCTGTGGCTTCAGCTCTTAATCCTGCAAACACTCAGAGTAAAACTGAAGTCAGGGGAAGCAAGAACCCCTCCGTCCTTCCCAGCACTCCCAGGAGCTCCCAGAAGCTCCCTTCTGTTGCTGCTCCATGAAGAGAGAGAAGATTCTGCCTGACAAGGCTCAGGCCTGGACAGCAGTGGCCAGCGTCCTCTAGGGTTTTCAAGCTGTGTCTCCACGATTAATGCTGACATAAAATATCAGAGTAGCAGGACAGGCTTGCTTCTGCGTTGGAATGTACAGTTTTTATAATTGAGCAGGGCACTAGCCTGGAAATGGGGCAGGGGCAATGTGAGGGGTGTTCTCTTTCTGATCTAAAAGAAAAGACCTTGTGCTGTTTCCAAGAGTTTTGAGCCCGCATGCAGTGTGTGCAGAGAAAATCCTCCCGAAAAGCAGTTTCACAAGTTCCTGCTTTTCTGTTAACTCTTCACTGAATTTTACAAAGCATAAGGCTCTTGCCAGAGCTGCGACTTCTGAGGTGCTAGGCCGTGGCATTTTGGAACTGTTCCCCTGTATCTGCTGTACAGTTTCAAAACACGATGCTACTTAGCTTTTCTCCTGTAGCAGGATAGGGTATTCCGTTCCTGGGAACTGTTTCTCGGGGTCTCTCGTTCAATGTTCAGGATGAGACTCCTTGGGGACACGTTGACCCATACCCGCTTAGTGTTCCTCCCTGCCCCGACTCGGGCACAGCCAGGGAGGGAATCAGGTTGCCTTGCGCAGGTGGAACGTGGATTCATCTTCCCCACGGACTCCTGCCGGGCGCAGATACTACAGAGTTTTAGGTGGACGATGAACTTCCTCACCGCCACGTGTCCCTCTTTTGCAGACAATTTCCAGCACCCGCTGTGAATCCAGTTTCATTAAAGTGCCTCTGAAATCCATTTTATCTTGTGCTTTGCAGATATTTTAGGGTTGCTTTACTTCCCTCCTCAACCGATGTCAGCTGTCTATTTCGAACTAAAGTCCATCCGGCCACGGAAGCCATTTTATTTAATGATGTGTTCAGAGCCACCATTTCCCAAGCAGCCTTGCAGCAGAAGACCCTGAGAGTGGACCTCTGCTCTGTCAGTAAGCACCGAAAAGAGGAATGCCTGGTAGGTTGCTTCGTGATCGTGGCAAGCAGCCCTTGTGATGGATGAGCTGAGTTGCCATTGGCCAGCCCTGGTGCCACTACCATCCACCCAAAGCCTCGGGCACCTGCGGCGGGTGACCCATTCTTTATCTGAAGTAGTGATTTCTGGTATTCAGTCCCTGATTCCAGACCTTTGAAATCTCCGGGTTAGTTGTGCTTTTCTGTTTTACTTTCTATTTCTACCTTTGGTCAAAGATGAACTCTGACCTCTGGTGTAACTGTCACTGTGGATTTCACTTATTCCCAGTCTGAGTCTTGTGCTCAGTGCTGTGTTTACATTATTTCATTTAACCCTCAAGACAGTCTTATGAGAAGGGAAGGATCATCCACTGTTTTCAGATAAGAACTATGTAGAGAGTTCGTGTGTCCTGAGCCACACAGCTTAGTGAATAATGGAACCAGGTATCGAAGACTCCCGCATAGAATTCCCTGCAAGATACTGTTTATTGTTCCTTCAATCAACTGGTTGTTCCCAGCCCTTGTAGGAGAACCTCTTGGAAGACCTAAGTATTGCTCTAATAATATTTAAATGCTGAACAGCAGAACTTCCTACATAACCAGTAGTGAGTTTAACACACCTTTGTGCACAGTGACCAGAAAGCCACCACAAGCCAACAAAGGGTACATGATGGTCAAATGCAGGCATGTGGGGGGTCAGCATTCAAATACAGGGGTGTGAGGGTGAGCCCCAGCAATGAGAACTCAGTGTGGTCTCCAGAAGCCCAGTAGGAGGCATGAAACGCCACGATCACCATGAAAGTTGAAGAGAGTGATTGATTTCTTACAAAGTTTTTCTTTTCTTCATATGAAAAAATGTCTGATAATATTGTCTAGCAATAAAGAAAGAGAAAAGCGCAAAGGTCATAGGCCTGTTAGGTAACATGTTGGAAGAGCCAATACAGTCAGGAAATCTGTTCCTAGGTAGCCTTTAAAGAAGGGTCCAGCTTAATTTAGATTCTGGCTGAAATGTGTGCTTTTGTGGAATATGAAAATCTCTCACCTTTAATTTCATTGACATCCTACTAACTTACCCAAAGGAAAACATTTCTATCTGGTTTCTTAAGAACCAGAGCGGGGATTTTGTTTGTTTAAAATTTTTTAGGGAAAATGGGATTTGTGTGTGTGTGTGTGTGTGAGCAGTCCTCACTCTGTTCTGTGGTGTGTTACAAGAAGTTTTATGGCTTATGCTTATTACTCATTTATATTTTTATTTTTAACTTTCCACCTGAAAGCAGCCCCACACTTACAAAACGTTGCGTCCCTAAGTCATTGGCCAAATAGTGTCTGACAAAATCATCCCAGGGTTGACTTTTATATTGGGGAGTGTTTCTCCTATTTCAAAAACTTAAGATATCTCCAGGTTTTTCAAAAATCCACCAATGCTTATATCATGAGTGATGTATTTCTTTAGCCTAAAGCGAGCTTGCTCGATTATCTTAATTATGTCAGAGGGAGCAAATGTGAGTTTCAACCTTTCCTTTTCTCTCCCCCTTTTCCCCTTTTTGTTCTTTCATTCCACGCAGGCTGGGACTCAGATCAGCCTGGCAGGTTTGCCATTTTCCAGTGACGTTTTCACTCTGTGGTATAACTTACTTCCTTCCAAGCAAATGCCTTGCACGAAGGGCGAGGACGACAACGAAGACTCTGTGTTTCCACCAAGCCAGCCATTGGTAGATTCTATAGACTTGGTGAGTCAAAATTAAGAGAAAAAAAAGTCATTCAAATTAATCAAATGAGCTGGGAATGCTATGATATCTCTGTGTTGTTATTCATGCTCACTGTCTTTACTTTCCTGCCAGGCTTCTAGCAAAAAGAAAGATAATTACCAGCTCTGTCTCGAGGGCAGATCATTAAAGGATCACTCATTTCTGCTCACCCTTCCTTCCATGAAAATAACCGATATGGAGGCTTCATTGACTTCAGTGTCCATGGAAGACCTTTTGATTTTAATTATTTAAATTTTCATCCACCGTGTCACGTCTTTGATCCCGTCGCCAGGCCTCACATCGGAAGTCTGTTCCGCAAATGTGAAATCATTAAGCCTGCAGCGTCTTAGCTTTCCATTTGTCACATCGATACCCATACATATTTTCTATTAAAAAGTTTGTTTTAACCAACAGTGATCTTCAGCACTGAAAAAAAAATTACTAAAGGATATTTCGTGATGCCCTTCTTCAGTGATGTGGCATCTGTGGCTCTCGTTTTCCCCGGGCTCACTTGAGAGAAATATGAGGAATGAGCCCACCAAGCAAAAGCCAGAAACTTCAGCAACAGTGTTTCATGATCATCTGTGATGTGCAAGAGGCATAAAAAAATAAAATCTTAAAAAATATGCACATACCATACAATTTGCCCCCTTAGAGCACACAGTTTGCATTTGAATTATATAATTTGAAATTCGTTTTTTTTGCATATTCACAGAGCTTTGCAACTGTCACCCTGATCTTAGAATGTTGTACCAGCAGTCATGCCCATTCTCCCCAACACTCACTAATCTTTTTGTCTCTAAAAACTTGCTTATTACAGACATTTTCTGTAAGTGGAATAACATGATATTTATTCTTCTGTGACCAGCTTCCTTCACTTAGCCTAACTTGTCACACACAGTGTGCCCATATTGTAGCATGTACCTCATGAGTACCTCATTCCTTTCTATTCCCAAGTAAAACATTCTATCGTATGGCTATACCACATTTTGTTTATCTGTTCACCAGCTGATGGGCTATTTCTTCTTTTTGAGTACTAATGACACTGTTGCTCTGCACATTTGTACACACAGTTTCTGTGGACATGTGTTTTCCATTCCCTTGGGAACATACCTAGGAGCAAAATTGCTAGGTCATACGTAACTGTGTTTACCATATTGAGAAATTGCCAAATTGTTTTCCAAAGCAGGTACATCACTTCACTTTCCCACCAGCAATGTGTGAGCGTTCCAGTTTCCCTCCACCCTTACCCCTGACTTTTTTATTCTAGCTTTGCTAGGGGGTGTGCAGTGGTGTCTGATGATTTTGTCTCACATTTCCTTAATAACTAATGATGTTACGCCTATTTTCATGGACTTAATACCATTAATGTATTTTTTTAGCACTATCTCTTCAGACACTTTGTCTCTTTTTTAAATGAGTTGTTTATCTTTCATTATTGACTTAAAAGAGTTCCTTGTATATTCCCTTACCTAACACATGACTTGCAGGTGAATTCCTCTCCTCCTGTGGGTTGTTGTCATTCTTGATGGTTCTGTTTGCAACATAAAAGTTTGAAGTTTTGATGAACGTGCGCGTAGTCTGTTTTCTTTTATTGCCTGTGCTGTTGGTGCAGTATCTAAGAAGGCTTTGGCCAACCTAACATTGCAAAGATTTATTCATTGCTTTCATCTGAGATCTTTAAAGGTCATTCTTATTTTCAGGTCTCTGACCCATTTGAGTTGTTTTTTAAGTGTGATCTGAAGAACAAGTTCGATTTCTTTCTTTTTTATATGGGTCTGCGATTCAATAACTGCTTATTGAAAAATTGATTTTTTTTCTCCATTGAATTATCTTGACTCTTGTGTCAAAAAACAATTGACCATAAGTAGAAGTGTGCACACTTACATTCTTGACTGCACATTCTGGGCCATTAATCTGTATGTCTGCGCTTAGACCAGCACCACCGTCCCTGGGTAAGAGGAGCTTATTTTGAAATCAAGAAATGAGAGTCATCCAATTTTGTTTTTCTTTTCCAAAGTGATTTGGGCTAGTTGGGACGCCTCATGTTTCCATGTGAATTTTAATATCAGTTTGTCAGTTTCTGCTAGGGGGAAAAAAAAAAGACAACTAGGATTTGGTCAAGTTTGTACTGAGTCTGTAGGTCCATCTGGCAGGTGTTGTCATCGTAACATCCACAAGTACAGGATGTTTTCCTAATTTCTTTCAACAGTGTTCCATAGTTTAAAGGATCCACATTTACACTAGTTTTATTAAATTTATCTTTAAGTATTTTACTCTTTTTGATGTTATTGTAAATGGAATTATTTTTTTCATTGCAGATTATTTCTTGCATAATTATATCTGGTATCCAGTTGCCTTGCTGAGCTTTTATTATTTCTAATAATTTTTCAGCGATAATTAGGCTTTTTTTTGTATGTAATAACCATATATGCTGCAGATATAGTTAGTTTTACTTCTTCCTTTGAAACCATCTTTTAATTCTTTTTCTTGCCTACTTGGCCTGACTGAAACTTCCAGTACAGTATTAAAAGAAACAGTGAGGACAGCCATCCTTTCTTCTGCCTCATCTTAGAAGGGAAGTTTTTGGTCTTTCACAGTGAAGTATGATTTTGTGAGTTTTAGCTAAATACCTTTTATCAGATTGAGGAAATCCTCTTCTTCCCTTGTTTGTTGAGTGTTGTTTTTTGTTTTTTGGTTTTTTTAATCATTAAAGGCTGTGGGATATAACAGATACTCTCCGGCATGTGTTGATAATCACGTGGCTTTGTCCTTTATTATATGGACAATTGTATGGTTTCTTGATTTTCAAATGTTCAACCACTCCTGCGCTTTATTCAGAAGTTTCTTCTTATGTGCATGTCAGTAGCTTGTCTCTTTCTAGGAACTGCTCACTTCATCTCGGTGGTCTCATTTATTGCCATGCGATGTTGAACAGTATTCCCTTGTGATCCGTTGTGTATCTCCCAGAAAGTCCTCTCATCCCTGATTTTGGTCATTTGAGCTTTCTCTGTTGTTTTCAGTCTGTCCAGCTAAAGATTTATCAACTTTTCTTGATCTTTTCAAAGAGCCAACTTTTGGTTTTGTTGATTTTCTCTCTTTTTTTTATTCTCAAGTTCATGAATTTCCACTAGAGTCTTATTACTTCCCTCTGATTGCTTTAGATTTATTTTGCTCTTTTTTCCCATTTTCTCAAGATGTAACTTAGGTTATTGATTTGAGAGCTTCATTTCCAATGTAGATACTTAAGCTGCAAATTTTCCTCTGCAGCAGCAGCTCATAAATCACCAAAATTTAGTATGTTGTTTTTTTTAATTTGCATTCATCTCAAAATATGTTATAATTTTCCTTGTGATTTCTTCTTTGATTCATTGATTACTTAGAAATGTGTTAACTTCTTATTATTTCCTCTTGTTACTGATTTTTAATTTCATTTAAGTGTAAAGAACATATTTTGTCTGATTTCAGGGCTTTAAATGTACTGAGACTTGTTCCGTGGCCTAGCATATTGTGTATCCTGGAGAAGGTTCTACATGCACTTGAGAAGGCACTATACTCTACTTTTGGGGTGGCATGTGCCACAGATGTGTGTTTGGTTTAGTTGCTTGATAGTTTGAGATACATACATTTATGCACACACACATACATTTTTATTAGACTTTTTATTGTATTCTAATCTCACTGTCTAACTTGTTTCTTTTGTGGAGAGGTATGATGCAGAGATTTATAACAAGGTACACAGACCATCATTTAATTTCCAGGTTTCACAAAGCCGACGCACCTTTGTAGCCATCACCCGGATCAAGATATATAGTACATGACCAGCACCCCAGAATCTTCCCTGGGGCCCCATCCCCATCATTACCACTCTCTCCTAAAGTCAATCTCTATTTTAACTTCTATTACCAAATATTTCTTTTGCCTGCATTTGAACTTTATATAATAAAATCGTTGTGTAGATATCCCTTTATGGCTTGTCTGTGAGAGGCGTCCCTGTTCCATGTTACCATACTCCCCTGTGTCACTGTAGTGAGGTGTTGCATTGTGTGACTGTGTCACGGTTCATTTGTTCTGCTCTCAATGGCCATGAGACTCACTTCTCGTTTGGGGAACTGCCGTGACCTGTGCTGCTGTTAACATCCTCTTACGTGTCTTTTGGTAAAATGCTATTTACCTTCCTTCCTTCTAGCCACGTAGGTAGGGTCAGAACACACGCTTGTGTTTTGTTTTTTTTAAACTTTTTTTTTTAAGATTTATTTATTTATTTATTTATTTATACGAGCGCTGGGTACAGTCAGAAACGCCGGAGGGTGAGAGAATTCACCAGAGCCAGAGCGGGGAGCAGAGCAGGCAGACGGATGAAATACACTGCTGAGGGGAGCAGCGGGTGGCAGGAGAGGTCTGCGCGCCATGTGGGACCCTCCTTCGGTGGCCGGGGAGCAGCCGGGGATTGAACTGGCACTGCAGAGGCTGCGGGCAGCTTCGCAGCCCAGCGCTCAACCGCTGCGCCACCGGGGAGGCCCTACGCTTGTGTTTCTTGCATGTTCCTGGTTAAAATGTTTAATCAACTAATGATTATGCTTAGGAGCTGAATGGATATCATATTCGTGAAATGTATATGCAATACCTTGCCCATTTTTCTGTTGGATTCATGTATATGTGTGTGTATATAAATATAGGTAGCAGTTCTTAATTTTATACTTGAGTGTTTTGTGAAATGTATTTGTTGGAAGTGTCTTTTCCCAGCCTGTGGCTCGCCGCTTCATTTTCTTCATGTTGTCTGTAGTAATGGAAATACTCAGGTTTCATGTAGCCTTACTTGCCAGTTCTTCCCTTTATGCTGAGTGTGTTTCTTTTCCTGTTGTAGAACTATTTGCCTGCCCCGAGGCTGTGAAGGTTTTTTTCTGTATTGTCTTGGCACTCGTGTTTGTTATTTTATCTTCCACATGTAGATCTGCAGTCCCCTCAAAATTAATTTTTTGTGTAAAGTATGAGGCAGGGGTTAAGATTCCTTTTTCACCCATGGGATGCCCACCTCGCCCAGCATTGTTTGTTGAGGAGATTTTCTCAGCTGGTCATAGTCACCTTGGTCACCTTGGTCATAGTCACATAGTGACTCTGCGTGTGTGGGTGTCTTCAAGTATCTCCTGTGTCCCAGTGGCCTACCTGTCCTTTGTAGATGATACTGTACTTTTTCAAAGTGGAGACTTTCAATATTTCATCATTTAGAATGATTTTTCTAAGGCTCTTTATAGATGATCACTATCAGATTAAGAAAGTTTCCTTCTCTTTCTAGTTTGCTAGAAGTTTTTTAATGCATGGATATTGAATTTTATCAAACATTTTTACTGTATCTCTTAAGACGATTACGCAGCTGTTTCCTTTTATTCTCTTAATGTGATGGATTATGCATTGATTGACTGAATTTTAAAGTGCCCTTGGATTTCTGAAACAGAACAAACTGCATTTAGTGTAAGAAAATGTATGCGTTGTTGGAGTTGATCTTTAATATTTTGTTTGGGTGTTTTGGATTTTTTTTATTATATATCAGGAGAGAAATTAGTTTCTCTTCTTATACTGTCTTTGTAATTTCTTGAGAATAAAGCTTTGCTGATTGCATAAATGAGAAAGTATTCCTTCTTTTTACTGTTTGCAAAAGTTTTTAAGGTGGGTGTCCTGTCTTCCTCAGATCCCTGGGAGAAGCCCCCACATGCCAGCCCAGCCTGTAGTTTTCTTGGTGCAAAAGCAGCCGGTGTCACCCGGAATTCTGGGCGAGACGCCCAACAGAAAGGCTTTCAGTGGTTTTTTCTCGTTTCTCTCAAGGATGACACGTAACTACACCATCCCGGCTGTTCTGTGTTGACGTAAGGGCTGCGTGAGGGCGTCAGGGCTGCCGTCCCAGGGGGTGTCAGGGAAAGGGCTGATGGCCCACCTCTCAGTTAAGAAGTCCGTCTCGTCCCTGGGCGCAGCGCTGTTCTGACTTCCTGTACGTGCCCTGGTCTTCTTCACTTGTATTTTTCACAGGATTTGTCCATTTATCTAAATAATCAAGATTTTGGCAAAAGTTCTTCATTTATGTCTCGTTATTATCTTCCCATATGCCGCAGGATGAGCAGTGTTCTCTGTTCCATTTCCTGATACCAGTGATTTGTTCCTTCCCTTCTTATTTTTTTTTTCCTTTGTATCTTCTTGCCAGGGACTTGCCAAACTTTTTATTTTATATAAAGAAATGTTTGGCCTTGTTGATATTTCTTACTACACATGTGTTTCTATTTTATTAATTCTGTTCTTTCTTATTTCCTTGCTTCTACTTTCCCCTTTTTCGGACTCTCTGCTCGTTAGGCAGGTGTTCAGGCAGCTGTTCTACCATCTTCTTTTCCAGTATGTGCATTTTGGGGCTACAAAAAAATCCCTTCAAGCACAGTTTTGGCTGCTTTTCACAGGCTTAATAATGTGACTTATCCTAATACCATTGAGTTCAGAATATTTTATAGCTTCCATTGAAATTTCTTTTTTGATCCATGAGTTCTTTTATAGAAGTATATTTACTCGATTCCCAGAGAGTGGGGTTTCCTAGTCGTCTTTGGTTATCGATGTCTGATTTTATTTACTGCTCTCAGAGCACGCCACTCATCCACACTGAACATGAAGTTTGCTTTCCGACTTAGCCTGTGCTCAGTTACAGAAGTACCAGGTGCTCTGGAAAAGAACATATGTTCTTCAGCTTAAGTGGTTAATTTTGTTTTCCAGGCCTTGCACAGTTTCTGATTTTTCAGTTTGCTTATTTTATCAGTTACTGAGAGATACATTAAAATGTTTTTTTAAGATTTATTTTATTTATGCATACAAAAGCTGGGGTACAGGTCAGAGATGTGGGGGTGGGTGGTGAGGACCCACCAGAGACAGAGCAGGGAGCAGAACAGGCAGACTGACTGAAATGCACTGCTGAGGGGAGCAGCAGGGAGACAGGAGAGGTGGTGGCGTCCGGGTTTCGCCTCGCGGCTCAGCTTCTCTGCATGTGCAACCTGAGAGACGGCTGCGGCCCGGACAGATGCCCCACGCAGCAGAGGCTTGTCCCGCCTGTGTCCTCCGGCCCTTGCCGCCCGCCGGCCCCAGGGAGCTGGGGTGTTTGCCCCCCGCGCCCTCCCGCCAGCATGGCCTGTCTCCCAGGCTGCTTGCCCCTGCCCGTGCCACCTCGTGCCGTCCCTCCGCCCTGGGCCCGTGGCCCCTGTCCTGCCCACCTTGCTGCCCCTCATGCCGTTGTACCAGCTGGGGTTTCGTGCTTGCTTGTTTTCTTCGGCTTTCAAATTTGTTCTCTGCAGGAGAATTGGGTCTAGTACCAGCTTCCCTTTCGCAGCTGGAGGCATCGGTCACCGTCGCATGTTCCAGTCATTTCTCAAAGTGCCTGATGCTAATTGCTGTGTGTTTTGCTCTCTCCCAGGATGCAGTGTCGGCCTTACTTGCAAGAACATCAGCTGAGCTGTTGGCAGTGGAACAAGAATTAGCACAAGAAGAGGAGGAAGAAGAACCAGGACAGGAAGAAGAGCGCAGGGGTCCCGAGGGAGACTGGTGAGTTATTTCCTTTCGCTACTGGGGGCTCATGAAGGATGTGCTTGGTTTCGGGGAGATCTTCATAGGGTCACAGCTCATCCTTAATTATGGAAACCTGCGCCAAGCACCGTCCCTCTGCAGTCACTAGGGCGTTGAAGGCCCTAGCAGCAGCCTTCACCCGTGAGCAATCTCTTTGTTCTCGCCTGAGGCCCTTTTAATGCTATTTCCTGAGCTTTTAAAGTTTTAGGTTTAAATTCCTATTTTGAAATGTCTGACCATTTATATTATAATCATAGATAAATTTAAAAGGAGACTCTTGAAGTGGTCAGAGGTACCACTTAGGCTCTGGAAGACGGAGCAGGTATTTATAAAACAGCTGCTGGGAGTCATGTTTCTGCTTGAGACCACCTTTTCTGTCCCTTCTCATTACCAATAGCCCGTCCTTTAAAAAAAAAAGTGAGAATAAAAGGTTTTGGTTTTTACTAGATTCACATGTGTGTGAAGGACTCTCTGTCTTTCCTGCTTTGCACCTTTTTCTCTGAAAACAATTTTCAGTGAATGTAGCAATTATTAAAAAGTATATGCAAATCATTTGCATTCACTTGGCTTAACTCTGTGCTGGTTAACTGTGTTGCTTATACTATATGTTTGATTGAACTACTGTTAACACACATGCATATCCGTATGTAACATGCATTTGTGTATCTGTGCACATACAACTGTCTACCAACTTAGAGTGACAAGGTGTACCTGTTACAGGGCTGGGAGAGGGGCAGCCCAGACCCTGCAAACCTGCCTGCTTCAAATAGGTTCTGCCGTCCACCGCATCAACACAAAACACATGAGATTTTAATGAAAAGAAACTTTAATATAATTAATAGCAATACAGGAAAGGCAAAGAAGAATCTAGTTTCTAAATCAAGTGCCCAAAGTTACCTGTCCCCTCATGGGTAAAAGTCCACCCACGCAGGATTGGCCCAGAGCAAGGCCTCAAACCTGCCACAAGTCTAAAGCATCCTCCAGTGGGGATCCACAGAAAAGGATCAGAAACAACCAGACAAGTCTGGGAGGGAAAAGAGAAAAATCAAAAGCAAGACAAAAACTGCCATTGTCACCTCCCCACGGGTCTCACCCACATCTGTGTCACCCAGTCCACGACCAAAAGGCAAGCGCAGTTTCTTCACGTGTCTCTCGCCTCCATGCGCCTCCTCCAGGCCTCCTTCTGGCTCCATCCTGCTTCCTCCTTCCTCAGTCTCCTCTGCAGCTTCTTCTCTCCCTGCTCAGCTCCACCCTCCTTTGGGTGGGGCAGGGAACCTGGGCCCCTTTCCTGGGGACCCCCCTGTTACAGATCTAAATAACAAAATCACAGATATTGGAAGGAACAGCTTAGTATAGTGATGTAGAAAGGTACAGATACACGTTGTCCTTAGCAAACATCCTTTATAATGAATAAAAATCAGAGCACTGCGGAGAAAAATAAATAAATCTTAGCTCATTTATATGCTCCCATGGAATCGTGGCCTATAGAGCCTCCCTCACATTTGTAAAATACAATTTGTGTCACACACATTTAGCATATGACAGAAAGGGATTAGTAACTCACAGTGTTCACAGCTAGGCCCCCTTTGTTGGTGTGGAGGGGAGGCGATTAATAAAGAGTGGGAGGCCCAGCTGTCCGTGTGTCACCAGCCGTGTTAAGGTTCGACTTTTGTTATCGTGAGTGTCTCTATTCCAAGAACATGAAACTGCAAAGCCTGATGAGCTGCTCTGAGCCGTGCAGGTCTCTCTTGCTTCCCTGTCAGTGTCATTTTGGAGATATAAACCGAGCTTAGGTGCCCAAGCCCAGGCCACGGCTCTTGTTCCAGACAAACTCACAGGCATAGCGTCCTCTGTTGCTTCAGGAATAAAAAATTCCCTTTCACAGGGCACGACCCCTCTAGATCCCAAACACAGACGATGATGTGCGGGTTTCTGTTCATGCTCAGAGTCAAAGCCAGCTCCCCATTTGATGTGGTCAGTGTATCATGGATGGCACGTCATGTCAGAGGGCACCAGGGGTCACCATTAACGTGGGATTTCAGAACGTTGCTATTTTAGTATCTAGGAATCATGTCAAAGTTCAGGAATTTAACTTTCTAGGACCAGATTCCAGTGATCTTGCCACAGATTGCTAGAGGATATGGTGATGATTTTCTTTTTCACGAACATTTTATTGAATTAAACGTTCCAGCCCGGCCAGCGGCAGCACAAGTCCCCTTGCGTGCGTTTCCGCCCAGGCCAGGCAAGGTGCTGACAGCCCTGGCTCCCGGGGTCCCGGGGCTCGCTGCTCAGCCTGGTGTGTTGTGTCTTGCTCCCGGCAGGTTAACGATGCTGCGAGAAGCCTCTGATGAACTTGGGGCCGAAGAAGAGGCTGCTGTTGAACTGCCAGGGGGCAGCAGCCATGCAGAAGAGGCAAGTTCCTGCCCGAGTGTCCCCGAGATGAATGAAGACTCCAGCAGGAAAGACGGCCACGGAGCCCAAGACCTCGGAAGTCGGCCGCCGGCCGGAGCGCCTGCCCTGGTCAGTGCGTTGCCCGTCTGCTCCCGGAACAGGTGTAATTCCATAGTAGGGTCTGTGCCAGGCGCAGAGCCCGGGGGGCGTCCTTGAGCGCAGGCAGTCAGACGCGTTGTAAATGCTTTATGGTTTCTGAGCCCAAGATACTCGTTCCCAACTTAAATTAAAAGATAAATGTCCTGAGTATTTGGTGAAGCATTTTCAGAATCTCCTGGATAAACACCAGGGTGAGCACTTCATTGCATTACATGTCATAAGCGGTGTAAGTTTATCTCCATTTTAGACACACAGTGAACATGTCAGTTCATTTAGTGACGTGGTGTTCTGATTGACACGTCTTCTGGAAGGTGGCAGGTGACCCAGTTTGGTGCAGGTGTCGGCCAAGTTACTGACATGCGGAGGCTCCCATCCCCCAAGGGCAAAGACCACTTCCAGGCTCTGAGGATGCTGGAAAACTGGGATGTCAGTAGTGGAATTTAGACAATTTATATTCTTTATTCCTGAGAAAAGTAATCTCAGACCCTGACTGAAGACTTCCTTTTTAAAGGAACAAAGCAGCATGAGGCAGTTTTCAAATCACGAAGTTCGTATGAGATCTGCAAGAGACACCCGTGGGTGCCCATAGAGCTGGTGTCCTGACAAATCTTGGTTTTACTTAAAGTTTTCTTTCTGTTGCCTTTCCAAGCATCCAGCAAATGTCCAGACTGGGGTGTCCACAGTATATAACAGCAGCTATCATGTTCATGTACATATAATCGCATAGTCTCTGAAATCTGGTAACTTGTCGTATATTTTCATTTTCTCGTATTTAATGGCTTTTACCATTTAGTCTGGGAAAAAGGTAGCCAGAAAATTGAATATTGAATGATTAAGCATTCCCAAATGCCATTCTTTATCGACCCACATTTATGCCTCAAATATCTAAAACTTCCTTTTGGTTATTTCTGATCTGTGGGCGGTGTCAGCTCCACTTCTGGGTAACCCGGCTGCTCCCACGGAGGATCGGTGACTTCCTAAGACTTCCCGTGGGGAGGCACACAGGGCTTTTCTCTGAGGAGGGCGCTGGGGCAGGGCCTGTGTCCTAAGAGCAGACATCTCTCTCTCCCCCGTGCCCCTGAGGGTGGAAGGGACATGGACCCATCTGTTTTCTACTGACCTGTGACCGGCCTGTCTTGCAGGTTGACAAAGAGACCAACACCGAGGAGGCGGGCAGCCCCAGCGTGGCGGTGCGCCCCAAGGATCGCAGTGGTGTGAGCGCACGCCAGCGCCCCTTCGTGCGCAGCAGCGTGATCGTGCGCTCACAGACCTTCTCCCCGGGGGGCCGCAGCCAGTACATCTGCAGGGTGAGGGCAGGGGTGCAGGGTGCGGCGCGGTGGAGGGGGCTGCTGGAGATGTGGTGCGACCACTGGAAGCGCCATGAAATACACAGGCAGTGTCACCCCCAGGGTCCTTCTAGTTTGGGCTTATGGGGGTATGTTTTTTTCTTTCCCCAAATTCAGTATCTGTGCCATTTACCTGGTTCTTTAGTGAAATTTCAGGCCCTGGCTGCTAGGTGTATTTGGACTTTGATCTCTGTTTAGAAACTTAGTGATTTGAGATTTATAAAAGTTTCCAGTATTTCTGCTCTCCACCAATACATGCTCCAAACCATGTTGGTTCTGCAGGAACAAAATTTTTCCAATTGGATTTTGTAACAAAAAGCATTTCTCAGTAATGCCTCGAGACCCTGAATCAGTCTCACAGTTCTTAGGATTAGTTTTGAATCGTTTTGCCAAATTCCACCTCCAAAAATATTTTTGACTTGTAGTAATACAGGTTTAATAGTATAAAACGGGTTGGAAAGTGCTTTTAAAGTTCTCAGTATATTCCTTCAGGCGTATTCATATGGTTGGATTTTAGAACAAAAAGCATCTCTCAGTAATGCCTCGAGACCCTGAATCTGGACTGACCGTGTTCTAGATTCAACACACGGTGACCTACTCTCACCAGGAGTTCCTAAACCATACACATCTTTAAAAAAAAATTTTTTTTAGCGAGGTAGCATCCGTTTACTACACTACGTTGATTGAGAGGTCTACGCTCACACCTCTTCGGATGCCTGTCACCACACCGCACCCACACCCAGGCGCCCATCCGCCTCCAGAGTCCTCGCCCCTCCATCCTCTCCCTCCCTCGCCAGCATCTTAACTCTACTGTCAAATTTCTTGGGTTGCAAACCTGACTTTAAAAAATATATATATATGGGCCTTCCCGGTGGCACAGCCGGTTGAGTGCAGTGCTATGAAGCTGTCTGCAGCCTCTGCAGCACCGGTTTGATTCCCGGCAGGCCAGGGAGATTCCCCCGTGGCACGGCAGACCTCTCCTGTCTCGCCTGCTGCTCCCCTCAGTCAGCAGTGTACTTGGGTCCTTCTGCCTGTTCTGCTCCCTACTCTGTCTCTGGTGAATTCTCTCACCCTCTTGTGCCTCTGGCTTGTACCCCAGTGCTTGTATAAATAAACCTTTTTATATATATATATATATATATATATATATATATAATATTAGCTAAAAACACAAAGGGTAATTTTATTTCAAAATATATATAGTTATCTCCACACTTGGCTTCTTGATAAACTACCACCAAAAGGTGATGATTTAAATTATTTAAGATAATTAAGTTGTTTCAGGAAGGTATAGAACAGAGGAAAACATGGTTGGGAGGGAAATCACTCCCATTGTCACCACCACCTGCTTTATCTGATGCCCTTGTGGCTGCCGAGCTTCCCTGGGGCTGTGATAGGCACTCATTTTACTGATTTATTTTTTATCTCTAATTGCCAGTTAAATCGCAGTGACAGTGACAGTTCCACCCTGGCTAAGAAATCCCTGTTTGTGAGAAACTCCACTGAACGGCGCAGTTTGAGGGTCAAAAGGGTACGTATCTCTTCGGCAACACCCCGTCCAGGCAACACCCCCGTCCCAGCAACACCCCATCCCAGCAACAGCCAGGTCACCCCCAGCAACTCAGATGCCCAAAGGCAGAGCACCAATAGTGGGGTGTGGGCATCGCCCCTCTGGCCCCGGGCTCTGAGCAACCCCAGCAGTGGCAGAAACGCAGATGAACCCCTCTGTAGGGCTGGGACTGGACATCCCTGGTCTGGGACCTAAGATGGTGAAGGCGGGAGATGGAGTTTAGTCCGCGGAGGGGCCTCACGAGCAGCCGGGACCGTTTCTGCCAGGTTGTCTCTGCCCTGTCTGGCTGTAGAGCGATTGAGAGAATATGAAACCCAGAACCTTCTCCAGAGGCTGAGGTTGTGGTAAAGCAGGAACACACAGAGTTGCCTAAAAACAGACTTTGTAGGTTACAGGGAGTACAGACGGGGGGCTCAGAGCCAGGCGCCCAGGGGGCCCTGGTCTCTGGATGAGACAACTGGGTGGAAGGGGTGGGCTGCCCCTGAGGTCAGCAGGTCCCGCTCCCGCCCCTCAGCAGCACACTCACCACTCGGGGAGTGTCCAGGCGCCTGTGCCAGCTCCAGGTGCCGCCTGCAGGCTCTGGGGTCTGAGGCAGTGCACGGGGGCCTATTGCAGGGCGTGGTGGGTGATCGGGGCTTCTGATTGGGGAGTCACTGAGACTTCAGGGAGGAGGCCTGAGACATCCAGCACCCCTGGGTGGCTTTCAGCGGAAAATGGCAGCTGGGTGGGGGTGGGAGAGGAGACAGATGAGGGGAGGAAAGAACTCAGAGGAGCGGCTTGCACACTGGGGGTGGGGGAACCTGGGATCGAGCGCTCCCCTGTCTCTGGTGCCGCGGGCCTGACCCCTGGGTCCCCGGGTTTAACCTCTTAATCACCTGGAATTGATAAAGATGCTCGTTTTTTTAGGGAAGTCTGCTGGCATAATTCAGCATTCAGCATTTCCAGGAAACGCCGAGGAATAAAATACTCAGGTCGCCACACCGTGGGCTTCAAAAGCACCGAGTTGCCAATATTTTGAGAAGTTTTCTCAACTTCTTTAGGCGCCTGCATTCTCAAACAGCACCTCCTCTTGGAGCATGGGAGAACGTTCCCGGAGGGCTTTGGAAGGGTGTGGGCCAGGAAGAAGCTCAGGGTGCTTAAGGGAGTTCCTAGAACCTCTTGAGCCAGAGAGAGGGGAGTCCCGGCGTCCTCCGCGGGAGACGGTGCCCGCTGGAGTCCAAGCCAACGGTTGGCGGTTGGCGTAGAGGAGTGGGGAAGGGTCTGCACTGTGCTCGGGAGCCCTTATCTTGACGAGCCTGGAGGTGGGGATCGCAGTCAGGAATAAAGCACGTCCTTAATCTCAGGCGGGGAGATCAGGCAGGAGGGTTCTCCGTTTCTGCGCACAGACTCAGCTTTGTGGGGAGAGCTGCGTTCCCCTGTGCTGTCTGCAGGGGATGTTCTCCTGACTCAGGGTCACCTCCAAGGAACAGGAGGGGTGAAGGGAGCCGAGCATCTGGCACATGAGTTGAGGGTCCGCCTGTCTGTAGCCCCTCGAGCCCTACAGCTTCCTGCTCCCCCCGCCGCCTCCGCGCCCTGCCCCAGCCAGCTGGCCGCCTGCTGGCACCTGCCAGCTGGCCGCGTGCTGGCACCTGCCAGCTGGCCGCGTGCTGGGGCCCTCGGCAGGATTTCTGAGGCTGAGAAGGGAGTAGCAACGGGTGCGTGTGGCGATTCTGCCGTGGGCTGAGTCTGCTGGCGAGGGCAGAGGTGGAGGAGAGGGGCGGGAGCCCGTGGGGGTGCTGGAGGGTGTGGGAGAAGCTCACAGCCCTCACTGCGCGGGGACGAGGGGACCACGAGGACTGTCCGGGCCAGCGCCGAGCCTTGGGGATAAGGGAGCCGGGCCCCCTCCCTCCGTCTGTCCTGAACCCCCCGCGGCTCCAGATCTTTGGGCTGCAGGGCTGAGGTTCTCAGGCCCGAGCCCCCGCCCTCTGCTATCGGCCGGGCCCTGCTCTTTCCGTAATCTTATTTTCCATTCCCGCTGCCAGTGGTCCAGGTGACACACCCTCCTCGTCCCCGAGGCGTGTGCAGTCTCAGCAGCCTCTGCCGCCTGCTTTCCTGAGGCGCTCCCCGCCCGAGGCCGTGCCCCCTCCCCGCAGCTCCCTGGCCACGGGCCTCCGCTCAGAACGGCGCCCGCTCCTCCTGGTGTCCGCCGGCAGAACTGTGTTCATACGTGCTCGATTATTACCTCTTGACGCGCGGGTGAAGACCAGCAGCGGTGCCGTGGTCAAGGAGACCAGATAGTGGAAACTGAGGCAGAGCTGGCGGAGACGCGGCTGGATCAGACGCCAAAGTCTTAGCCCCGTTGGCCAGCTGCCTTCTGCCGGCACGGGAGCGGCAGCAAGGGGAGTGGACATCGGGTGTGTGTCCCGCCACGGGGGGCCTGGCAGTCCTGTGACGTGCTTCTTTCTCCCGCTGGGCAGACCGCGAGGGGACAGCGGGCAGGCAGAGCTGAGCCATCTTCAGGTCATAACTGTAAACGTCTCTGTGGGTTCAACGACAAAGGCTTAGTCCCTGCTCGGGCCCTTGTCTGCTGCAGGGTAGTGGGGTACTCTGCTCCTCGTTCCCCCACGACCGGGCTGAGGGGTCTTCCCTCGCTTTGAGAGGCCCCTGCCTGGAGCGAGCCACCCAGTGCCACCCACGGGTGCTGGCCCCGACTGCGCCCTCCAGCGCGGCCTGAGCGTGCCCTCCTCTTCCGTGCAGGCGGTGTGCCAGCCGGTGCTCAGACGAGCCTCGCAGGAGTGCCCAGTGCGCACGTCGCTGGACCTGGAACTGGACCTCCAGGCCTCCCTCACGCGGCAGAGCCGCCTCAACGACGAGCTGCAGGCCCTGCGGGGCTTGAGGCAGAAGCTGGAGGAGCTGAAGGCTCAGGGAGAGACCGACCTGCCCCCGGGCGTGCTGGAGGACGAGCGTTTCCAGAAGCTCCTCAGACAGGCCGAGAAGCAGGTACAGAGCTCGCTGGGGCTACCCCTAGCCCTCTCCCCACCCCGGTCTTCAAATCCTCTTTCTCGAACATTGAACACTTTTCTTTTAATTGTTATCGGCCTGTTTGGAACCCACGACAGTGCCATGAGCCTGGCCCCACCAAGGTGCCACGAGACCCCCCCCACAGGCTGGCACGGGCTCCTCTGGCCACAGCATTGGCCAAGGGGCCTCGCCATGTTTCTGTCTCAAGAGGAGCCAGGCCAGCAAATACACCGCACCTGTTCACGTAACTGCTGACTTTTCTTGAGTTTTACACAAGTAGCTCCTCAGTTTCAATAACCACATTAGTTGTAAATGCATCGCTGACTTTAAAGTGCCTAAATTTTCATTCTTTCTTACCTTCAAGAGCGATTGCATGTCACATTCTGGCCTGTCCCTTGCCTTTCGTCAGGCAAGCAGCCACACAAAACAGGGCAAAATCGCTGACGGAAAAGTTAGTTTTCAAGGGTCTCTTTCTATAGTTCTGCTACCTAAATGTGACCAGATTTTCAAGAACCTGCATATTTATGAAACTGATTTATTCTCTCAAGATTGGAATTTGTATTTTGCTGTAGGCATGTGTGTTCACTCCCACTTGTAATAACCAAATCGCGTTTTCCACATAAGTGATGTATTACAAATGCCACAACATTATTTTCTTTCAACTCGTTTGGATGGAAATCTGCAATAGGTTAGACTCCTCCTTAAACAACAGGAAATCTTGGCCATAATGAACGCTTCTCTTTTTGGCCCAAAGTTATTTTTTCATCATGTCGCGTTTGATACTGGACTGTGGGGAAACAGTCATTGCTTCTTCTCACACGACTAGTCCCAGCGGAGCTCAGGAGTATGACAGGTGAATTCTGGGGATCAGGCTGACGCCATTAACTTTCTCAGAAAGTATAAGAAAACGTGTTAACACTTCTGGGTGACAGCCTGTGCGCACAGTAGGACTAGCAAGTACCTGTTCCGTGGGGAGTTGAATTTCGGGCTTTCTGCTGGACACTGTGGCCACGCAGAGGGAATTCCCACAGACAGGGCGCGAGCTTGTGGTTTGGTGAAGGAGGCAAGGCTCCAGAGCCACCTCCTGGCGAGACCAGAAGTGGTTTCATGGATGAGGTGGTGCTTCAGCTGGTCTTGAGAGCAGGTAGTGGGGGTGAAGAGGCCCAGCAGGCGGGAGACCCTAATAGTAAAGGAGCAGAAGCTCCAGACAGGCAGGGTCACAGCAGGAGCCACCGGGAGCAGCCGGGCTCAGCTGGCTTTAGAGGCTGCCGGAAGCCTACGTGACCTGCTTTTGTGCCACGACCTTCGTGGTCACTGCCCCCGTTGCCACTCGCTTGAGTCTTTCAGTTCAACCGCGACAGGAATTTCAAGCCCTTAGTTGACTTTCTCATCATGGAGAAGCTCCCGAACCTTTTGACCCTGATCCAGGACTCTCAGAGCTGGACTGGTGACTTACAGTGGTTGGTTTTAGTAGAACTTTGAATGTTTGGGGTTTTTTTGCTGTTTGTTGGCTTCTAGTTTGTCATGATATGAGATTCTGGAATCAATAATTTATAAAAACTTTGGGACTTTTTTTTTTTGCTTACCAGCATGTTGCTAAGAGCCATCTGCAAATTGCTTGACTATAGTTTGTCTTGGCTGCTGTCTCTTCTCCACTGTGGAGAGAAGCTCAGTAATACAGAAACTTGGTTCTTCAGAAAAACCTATAAAAAAATAAAACGGCCAAGATCAACAAAGAAGACCCAAATGAAGAAAAGTATAAAAGTAAAGAGAGACAGAACTACAGATAAATTTGAAATTCAAATGATAGGTATTATCAAAAACCCACGATTTGGACAAAATCTAGGAAAAATAAAAATACTAAGACTGATGAAAGAAGGGGAAAAGGATTAAAAGCCCTCCGCCTCTTGAAGAAATGAAAGCAGTGATAAAAGTCTATACACAAAGAAAGCAAGGTTAGTTGTCTTACAGACACGTCCACCAGATTTTGAGTGGACAAATTATCAGTGTTTTATACAAACTCTTCCAAGTACTAGAAACAGAGAGACTATTCTACAACCCATTATGTATGACCAACATCCCTAATCATAAAACTGGACGAAGATATTATCAAAAAGGAAAATCACAGGCCAGTTTCATTTATGAACATAGATGCAAAAACCATAACTAAAATCTTAGTAAACAGAATTCAACAGTGTAGTAAAAAGATGATATACTTGACCATATAATTAATCTATTTAACACATTTAAGGGAAAATAAATACTTGCTCAACTCAAAAAATGCAGGGAAAATGTTGATAAAAGTCAATCCTTATTCTTGTCTAAAACTCCCAGGAAGTGAGGAAGAGATGGGGCTTCCTTAACTTGTAATGAGTAACAGGCAGTGAATGTGGCCCTAACCAGAAGAACGTGGGAATTGCTCCCTTTTGAATCAGATTCAAGCAGACAGTTCCCTCTGCTCAGGGTCGTCTCAGGAGTTGTAACTGGGACGTGAGAAAAGCAGAAGCAGATGTTGGAAAGGAGGAAATAAAACTGTCATTATTTGCAGGTGACCTGGTCACCTACCTGTGCATTATTACAAATAACATGAGAGTATGGCAAGATGGTAAACAGAAGAATGATCTAGAAAAGTCTGTTGTGTTGCTCTGTCAAAAGCAATCAGAGAATTTAATTAAGATCTGGTTTACAACAGTAGGAGTGATCATCAAGTATCAAGGAATAAATTTTTAAAAAATGCATATAGTATAGGGAAAACCTCATGGGGAGAAATAGAAAAACCCCTAAATTCGTGGGAGAACATACCACCTTTAGCTATGAGGGGCCAGACAGGATAAGGTCTGCAGGCCATGGAGCCCCAGTCACCAGCACTCAGGTCTGCCACTTAGCACAAAAGCACCAAGACAAGATGCAAACAGAGGATTGTGGTTCTAGTAAAACTTCACAAAAGCAGTGGCGACCTGAGACGGAGGAAGAATTAATACTGTGGAGCCTGTCCATTCTCCCTAAAATGCGCTGACAATTCAGTGTCCCTCCCAACAATGCCCATGTGGTTCTTCGTGGAAATTGATGCCGCTGATGGAGAACAGAGAACAGCCAAGACTTCTCTGAGGGAGAAAGCCAGGAGGGGGCTTGCCCTACAGGGAATCGGGATCTATTAAGCTGCCAACATGTATGGGCAGTGTGGCTTGGGGGAGGAGTTGAGACCCATCAATGAAGTAGGGAGCCCAAACCAGCCGTACCCACGGGCCGTGTTGTGTGGTGGGCGGAGGCCATTTGTCAGCAGGGTCAAAAGGAGGGAGTGCAGAATTAGTGAGGCTGGGAAAGGAGCGCCCGCAGAGAAGAGGACTCTGGGTCCCTGGCTATAGACCCAAGCCTACTCCATGTGGAATAAGGAGTTAAATCTTAAAAATACAAATTGAAAACTCAGGGTTAAACACATGAGCTGGCTCTTTCCATGCCTGGGTTCTGTATCTCTGGCACCTGATGTGTGTCCTACAGAAACAGCTGGAGCTGAGCTAGACCACGGCAGACTTACTGAGAGCCACAAATGTCTGAGGACTGGGGAGCCACGGAGGTCTCACAGCAGGCCTGGGAACGTGGCCGCGGTTGCATGCAACGTCAGCCAGAGTGGGGGCACCGCCCTGTCCCACAGGTGTTTCCACAAAATCAGTGATCTTGGATGTGGAGCCAGATCCAGGGAGTGCGAGGGGCCCACACTGAGGGAAGGAGACAGGCTTCGGCCTCCTTCCCAGCTGGAAGCGTCGAAACGCCAGTGCTCCAGCAAGTGTTTCTTTTAATCATCTTCTATTATAGAGTTCTGAGATTTCTGCAGGTGCTGATGAATGATTAAAAGTCTGCAGGATTTTAGGGTGACTCTTGTTTCCCTTCTACATTAAAGGAATCCGTAGAGTTTCTCTTAGTACAAACAGATGGAAACTGGAAGGGGTCCAGATCCCACAGCAGGTTCTTCAGGGCAGATAGAAGAGCCGAGGCCTGATGCCTGAGGCCCACCTGTTCATTTTGTTGATGGTTCTCGTCTTTCAATGAGCCGATCGTGAACCGGTGTCTGTTTTCAGCTGCAGAAACTTGTGGGAGGCCTTGACCAGAGAGTTCCCTAAAAAACAGCAGAGCCTCTTTGTGCACATCCTCGCTGTCCTGAAGCACCCTCAGCCAGCGGGTGGGCACCCAAGGGGGTGTGAGGCCCCTTTTTGCATCTGTATTTCTGTGCCTGAAAGTAGTGGTTCCACCCAGCCGTGGTGCAGGCTGCCTCTGCCCGCTGCTGATCTTGTTGAGCAGACGCGTTTCTCTCTTACTCCAAGTTTTGCTTGTTCCACTGTAGGGCCAGTGGGCACAGGACAGGTTCACTATCCATTCGGGCAGACAGATAAAGGAGAGTCCCGGAGCCCTCGGTGGATTGCTCAGGCTTTAGTGCTCTCCCAGGGAACCAGGCACACAGGCACACAGGCAGGGAGGCTGGTGTGCAAGGGAGGCGGGCAGGGCAGGGAGGCAGGCACTAGATAGAGCGGCCAAGTTATGGAAACAACCAAAGTGCCCAGGGACAGATGAGTCGATAAAGAAAATGTGGTGTATTTACACAGTGGAAAACAACTCTGCTGTAACAGATGAACTTACGCCGTTTGTTCCAACATGGAGGCAGGGTGATGCTCAGAGAAATAAGCGAGAAGGATAAAGACACAGATCAGGTGCTTTCCGTCATAGGTGGAATAGAAAGAAACGAAACAGACGAAACAAACCCTAGAAATCAGTTTGTAGAATAGAGACTGCTGGAGGACATGGGTGGGAACCCAGGAGGAGGGAGCACAGTGGTGGAGGTGTAAGGTCAGGACATGGGCACAGGGCAGGTTTTCTGATCCCATGCAGATCGGGTAAAGGAGGAGTCAAAGTCCTCAGTAGTTTTGCAGGTTTTTTATTTGGGGTTCACCAGGCATATGGCAGGCAGGGGTGCTGGCTGGGGGGCCGGGAGGCTGGCAGGCCTCCCAGCCCCCAGCAAGTCCTCACTCTATCTGGGCTCTCTAGCGTTCGTTCTGCTGCTTCTCGGCTTCGGCTGCGGCTGCTGCTGCTGCTGGTGCTGGTGCTGCTAGCGTCCCCCCGTGACGCCGCCCTTAAAAGCACAGTCTTAGCTCAGCTGAATCCCATCTACCTATGCCCACACCCTATTCCAGGTGCCCGCCATCAGGCATGCATTCAGGACAAGGATCCATCATCTATCCTGATGGCGGAAGGGCAGAAAAGCCTGACATTTTCTTTACCCTACAGTCCACCCCCTCAGGGTTTTCTGCCATATAGTCTATACATATATATACAATTTTCTAAGCAAACAAACAATGCAGCCATGGCCCACAAAAGCAAATACATCAAATATAACAAAATACAATATAACAAAATACAACAGAACACAAATAAGTCCAGGCAGGGCACCAACCAAGTGCAAAAGACAATTATTGGTACCAGCAGATGAGCCACCAAATCTGCTGCCGAAGGCACTGCTCATACGAGGGAGGGGAAATCACACACGGCATCTGCTATAACACACCAGGAGCCGTCAGGCTTCCTGGCCTTCTCTGGCTGTAGTCTCAGCTACAAGGCACACACAGCATCCACCCCCAGGATGCACTAGCTCTGGGATTGGCAATTTTATTCTGTTGGGGGTAATCGCCAACCCTCAGGGTTTCTGTCTGCAGTCGCTCCAACACTCGGCCTTCATGGCCACCCATGCGACTCACAGACCCCTGCACTCAAGCCAACCCACTGCACAAGCACATGGGTTGGGGATCCAAACTTTGCATTTGGCTTGGGCTCCACCCCAAGCCACATTCCCCACCCGTCCCCCAAGGACAGGTTCCTCAGCTCCTCACCCTCGCTCAAGAATGAGCAGGGCATCACCCACAGGTGATTTTACGAGACTCACAGTTCTTCAGCATACCCAGGCTGCTTAACAGCCGCTCAGGGCTTCTCAACTTATCATCAGTACCAGCTTTTGCCTTCTTAGTTGGCTTTTCTCCTCCACCTGGCTGCTGGGCATGCACAGGCTGCTTTTGGCCATCAAGGCCCACTGGCCACCCCCAGATTCCCATCTCCTGGGGTTTACAAACAAAACTGTTCCACCCCCAGGGTCCCAAAACATATCAACCTGCAAGGTCCTCCGCCTTCTGGCGGCATTGTCAGTCCAAGTTTATCAGTCCATGTCCATTGGCCTCTCCCTGCGTCAGCAGCGGCCTGCTGCCTCAGGGGTCATTGGCTGGTCCTTTCCGGTGTCATTGGCTGGTCCTTTCCGGTGTCATTGCCTGGTCCTCTCGGGCCTCTCCCCACGCCAGGTCTTGTCCTGTAGCTCGTGGACGTATCCATCTTCTGTACCGCCATGGCGCCTCCAGCGTCGTCACAGTCAGTCTTTTACTCCTTAGTCCCTCCAGGTCTTCGGAGGGCTCCAATACCCGTCTGCATGGATCTTGCCGACTTACGCCAATTGTAAGGTCAGGACATGGGCACAGGGCAGGTTTTCTGATCCCATGCAGATCGGGTAAAGGAGGAGTCAAAGTCCTCAGTAGTTTTGCAGGTTTTTTATTTGGGGTTCACCAGGCATATGGCAGGCAGGGGTGCTGGCTGGGGGGCCGGGAGGCTGGCAGGCCTCCCAGCCCCCAGCAAGTCCTCACTCTATCTGGGCTCTCTAGCGTTCGTTCTGCTGCTTCTCGGCTTCGGCTGCGGCTGCTGCTGCTGCTGGTGCTGGTGCTGCTAGCGTCCCCCCGTGACGCCGCCCTTAAAAGCACAGTCTTAGCTCAGCTGAATCCCATCTACCTATGCCCACACCCTATTCCAGGTGCCCGCCATCAGGCATGCATTCAGGACAAGGATCCATCATCTATCCTGATGGCGGAAGGGCAGAAAAGCCTGACATTTTCTTTACCCTACAGGAGGCCTGTGGGCGCCTTGGTGGTGGGAGTGGGGTGGTGACACCACCTGCAGGGTGTGATCCTGCACCTCTAAATCATACACAAGATTGTAAACCAGTGTTGCCTCAACAAATAAGTACTAGAATGAAAAAGAAATGAATTTTTAAAAAATGAAATGGCCAGATGACAAAATATGAGGAACAAGAGGTTGGAAGTATACCTGCCAGTGTCAACAGTAGTTATTTCTTGGACACAACGATAAATCGTTTTTAATTTCTTTTTGGAGGGCGCTTAGGTTTCCCAAGCGTAATAAAATAACCACATATTGGCAGTGTGATAAGATTTTGAAAATATGATAAACTCGCCCCGTCAAGGTGAGCTGGCGTGTGGGAGTCACCCCCGATGGCGGACACGGCTCCCTGTCGGCCACCCGGGCTGCTGCCCTGGCTCTCGGGCCGTCTTTCGAGCCTTGCAGCGCACCTCCAGGATGTCCTGGGTCACGTTTTATGGATCGTGTGTGTTTTCACGCCCTGTCCAGGCTGAGCAGTCAAGGGAGGAGCAGAAGCAAGGCTTGAACGCCGAGAAGCTGATGAGGCAAGTCTCCAAGGATGTGTGTCGGCTTCGGGAGCAGAGCCGGAAGGTCCCCCAGCAGGTGCAGTCCTTCAGGTGAGCCCTGGCCAGCAGGCAGCCCTCACGCAGGGGCTCCTCCAGAGCAGAGCTGGAAGGACTGGCGTGGGGGGCTGCGGAGGTGAGGCCCAGAAGGGGGAGCCCCTCCTCCACCTAATGAGTTGAGAAATGGAGGGACTGAAGCTGGGGTCCGGGGGCTCTGCCCTCTTGTTGGAATATGACAGTTGACAGTGAAGAGTTTTCCCTGCACTATTCCGCTCACGATCCCTCCTGTTACTTTCGAGAAGGCTGCACCTCAGTCCTTTAGAGCATCAGGGTGGTGAGCAAGTGGTCACCTGGAGAGGCCCCCCGTCCAGCTGTTGCTAAAACCCCAAATACAGCGTCATAAACGTGCCCCGCATCCCTCGCCAGCGTCGGGCGGGTTGGAAGAAAGGGTAAGATGGACTGCAGCAAGGCCGGCCTAGCCGGGAACGGGGGCAGCAGGGCCTGAGCCCAGCCGCTGCCCCCGGGGAATCGAGAGCCCATGTTCCCTGGTCTTCTCACTCGTCCTGGAAAGTTGGGTTTCAGCGATGTGCACGTCAAGTATCTCAAATGCACACACCGGCAACTAAGTCAAGTATTTAAAAACCCCACGAGGTCAGAGAAACCTGTTGGGGTCGTGCCGGGGCCCCCTCGGGTCTTTGCTTCCTCCAGAAGGCCCAGTGGCGGGTGCGCTCGCTGCCCTCGTGGAGTCTCGTGGGATTGGACTCACCCCGGCCCCACGCTCGCCTCTTCCTTTTCTTCTCTGGCCTCCGCTTGGTCTTCAGAGCGTTTCTCTCTCCACTCTGACTTCTCGCCTGCCTTACCCTCCTCCACCCAGACCATCCGGGTCTCAACAGCGGGCCCGGCTTCAGGTGTGTGTGCACGTGTGTGTGCACGTGTGTGCACACGCCACCCTGCACTCTTCTCTCCCGGCCTCCCCCGTCACCTCCTTTCTACCCAGTGCTGCAGCTTTGAGACAGTCAGACTCGCCAGGTCCTTCCCTTTGGTTAAGCCCTGGGGTCGCCCACCAAGCCGCCCTGGCCGTTGCCAGCCATCCTGGACTTGAAATCGTTTTCCAGGAGGCCCCTGAGGCGGTTGCCGGGTGTCCTCCCTCTTGGTTCTCGCCTTGCTGGCTCAGACGCGCTCAGCCTGGAGCAGACCCCAGTGGGGACGAGCATCTCCCCCCGGGACCCCCGGGAGGGCTGCCCCCCTGGCGTCCAGGGACGTGGCAGCCGCTGCCGAGGCCTCCTCCCCGCAGCTGCTGTGACAGGCCCCGGAGGCCTGGATTTTACGTGATTTTACCTGAGGAGCCCTGTCTGTGTCCAGCCCGGAGGAGGCCGAGGGGCTCCTGGGGATGCTGTGCAGGGTCCCGGGGTTCTCACCACCGTGTTCGCGTCTCGCCCCACCCAGGGAGAAGATGGCCTACTTCACCAGAGCCAAGATCAGCATCCCGTCCCTGCCGGCGGACGACGTGTGACGCTGCCCGCGCCGTCCCGGGGGCGCCGAGGCGGGGGGCCTTCTGTCACCACCTGGACTCCTAAAGAGCTTTTATTTCACGTCAGATTTTCAACACGTTCCTTCGCAAAGAACCTTGAATGTAAATCATAAGTGTTTAAAAAAGGGAAAAAAAAGCATCCGCTAAGCAGGCCGGGGTGCTCTGGGACACGGCAGCGAGCGGCGTGCAGGTGTCGCCAGTGGCTGTAGCTGGTGACACGGAGCAGAGGCCGAGCCCGGCGGGCGCCCTGCTGGACTGGCGGCCGAGAGCCCTGGGCTCAGCCGGATGCCTCTGCTCTTCCCCGGTGTGCTCGGGAGGGGACTGCAGAGGGCACCAGCCCAAGAGACGCCAGCAGCCCGCGGCCTGCGGGTGGGCTCGGCCTGAGGGTGGGGAGGCCAGGCCCGCACCTCCACCGCAGCCGCGGCTCTGAAACAGTGTCCTTTTTGTGCTTTCCCGCCGGGCTAAAGAAAACCAAAACAGAATGCCCCGTGCAAGAATGCGATTGAGCAGTCCTCCAGGCCACGCTGGGGAGCTTGTGGTGCAGGACAGTGAGGGGAGCGGAGGGGGAGAAGACAGTCACCTCGAGACACCCCGGAGGAGGCGCATCGGCGGCACCTGCTGCTTCCACTCTGCCCGAAGTGGCTGGAGTGTTCACGTGCAGGCTTGGGGCTCGCACCCGGCGTGTTTGGTCCCAGGTGCAGGGGTGTGCGTGGACAGCCTGGCCCAGACTCTGGGCACCGGCCGTCCGGCCGTGGGGAGGCCCCGGAGCAGCACCCTCTGGGGCAGCCAGGAACAAAGCAGCAGGTTTCCTGATGGAACCCAGGTTGCCAAAAATTAAAGAGAGAACACATTCACTGAAAAGATTTCTAATATTTGCTAGAAATTCCTTTGCAGTTATTTTAGGGGAGCCCAGCTCTAATTTATGGGAAGGAGTTGGGAGGCAAAGAGAAGTGTGTGCCTGGGGAGATGATTGACTTGAAGTATAAGCAAAGTCATTTGTTTTCCAAAAAAAGTCTAGAGAAACAGGTTTAGAGACTTCAAGTGACCTCCAGTGTAGAATTTGAGCTGACTCAACCCAGGCACTTCTGGAAGGAAACAAAGCTGCCGATGTCTCTGCCAGCGTCAGGCTTCTAAGGTCAGTGGTGCCAATGGAATTTAAATGCTCCTTAGAACTTGGTCGGCTATACTGAAACAGGTAATTTTAAATCAAAACTTTGGAAATACAAATCATCTTAAAAGAACAGGGCCCTTGGGACGGGGCTGGGGGTGGGGCGGGTAGGGCTGGGGGCGGCACAAGTTCTATTCCTAAGCTAGAATCCTCAGTGGCAAAACTTACACTTTCTTGAAAGTAATTATACCTATTTTGGAAGGTTCACTTGATCAGAATCAAAATTCAGATGAAGCCATTTCTGAGCCTAGAACTTTAATTGTGTTTTTCCTCTGTGTCCCGTCACTTATATACAAATGTCTTTGAAGCTATAACTGGACATGACACTACTTTGAACAAAATCAGCCTGAGTCGGCCAGGCGCAGACCTGCGTGGCTGTCTATTGGATGACTAAGGAGAACTAGAAAGAGTATCGTTCGTCCTCGTCAAGGTCAAATGTGAAAGGAGTTTATTTAATGTAGAGTTACATGAAGGTCAGCTGTTTCCAGCTTCTTAGTTTGACCATGAAAATGTTTATAGAATTATGTGTAGTTGTACCGTACGATTTTATTTTCTTCATTTATTTATTTACGGTCTTATTTATGTTCTGTTTAATATATAGTTCGGTTCTGGCCATTTTTAAATGTTTGACATAGAAGAGGCAATATCGGAATATTTACAGCTTTATAAAACTTCATCAGATGAGCTGTTAGCTTTTTGTAACACAAGAAGTTTCAGATAAGTATAAAAGAGCAAAATCTGTCTCCGACTGATAGTGTTAGTAGTGTGACCAAGATGCTTTTGGTTTTCTTACACAAAATTTTCTCATTTCTAACATGAGAGACAAACTCAATATAATCCTTTTCCACACTTTAAAAAATCAGCGATAGTGTTATGTATTTACAGGCAGCTTTTAACAGTTCTCTCGTATTTGTACTAACCCCAATGATTCACAATGACAAGACATTTTAATAACTTCATCACAAAACCATATGGACAAATAAGAATTTTAATATTATAAATACTATTTTTTAAAAGGTAGAGTTTATTCTGCACAGGGTAAAAAGAATGTAATATTTAGTTCTCCAGTCTGAATTATCAATATGTTATTACAATTTTGTATATGAGAATCTGTAATAGGTACAAAAAGGATATTGCTAGCCAAATGAACAAAGTTTAGCTGAATCTCTGTAGCCTGCAAGTCAAATCAATTTTAAAATCTTTTTTGTTACTACGTTATATTGTATTAAATATCAAAAGCTCAGGACTGAACTAAATATTTAATCAGGTTAAATTCTGAATATGTTTCTGTTGTCATTTGTCATGTTTGTAAAAATATGCAAATACATCACATAGTTTAACTTTGGTTTCTGCAGTTTTTGTGTGTTTACGGGTGGGAATTTTTTTTTTTTTTTAACAAAGATACTTTGTTAAACAAAGATACTGCCTGATACTCTATTTCAGTGACCTTTATTGTTCAGTTAATTTCCTTGATTGGCGCAGACACAAAAGTTCACTTGAACTATGTCCATAGCAAATATGAAATATTCCATGAAGAACTCCCCAGGCCCGAGGATAGTTCTTGGTGGACAATATGTATTGCTGATTTTTTAAAAAAAGGCAGAGGATTTTCACTGGGCGAGGGCACCAAAGGGCCCCAGAGTCCTGGCCACCTGTCCAGGCTGTGTGCTCCCAGACCCGGGGCCTCGGTGCCAGGATCTTCTCCAGCCCCACCTGCAGTGCCTTGGGGTAGGCGGCCGGGGTGGGCAGGACTGTCGGCCGTCCAGCATGGTGCCTGGAACACAAGAGCCCGAAGCACATTTGTGTGGTCGATGTCATGTGACCCGTCCCAAACTCCAGCTCACCCCACCCCCCCACCCCCCCACCCCCGCTTCTGGCAGAGGGGAGATGCTACGGGTGAAGGTGGCCGAGAAGCTCCTTTGACTGAGGTCTCCCATCAAAGGACATGATGCGTCAGGCGTGTCTTACCTCTCACGCTTTCACAGAGCCAGCGATCTTTGTTTTTAGTATGATCGGATATACATTTTAAATAAATGTGCAAGGAGACGTTAAGTTTTCATATAATAGGTGATCTTACACACTCGGAAGAAATAGCGATTAACAGGAACACTTCCAATTGCCAAGATGATTCACCTCTATAAATAACACCTTCAATGACCCCTAAGTCCTAATATGTCTTATTTCCCAGTTCTGCGCAGACCTTGGAATCTATTTGAAAGTTGAGAAAACTCATCCACTGTAATGAGTATGATTACTATTAAGTCTTGATTGGTATTGCTCAGAGTAGAAAATAGAAGTGGTTTACCATCTTAGAAATTCTTGTTTAAGAAGCTAATAGCCCCAGGAGGAAAAAAGGCATTTTGAAAATCAGCAGCAGAGTGACTGTAGGGCTGTGTAGTCAGAGCCCTCCCAAATCCAGAGCAGAGGAAGCGTCTCCGGAAGACGACACCGCTGATCCCTCCTGGCTCAGATCCTCAGGTGGGTGGTTTTCATCTCCAGGTGTTGGCAGTGATACTGCATTTCCGCCGCTGCATAGTGGCCCGAAACTAGAGGGGGCCGGGAGGAGCAGGCTGCACAGTTCAGCAGACAGCCTCCCAGGAGCAGGAAAAAACCAGCGAACCAGCCGAGAAACAGGGCATCCCCAAACTCCCACCGAGGCACGATCTCCGGGACCGTCTCGTCCCAAAACGCCTGCACCGTCATGTGGGCGACCCAGGAAACAGGAGCCAAGACCGAGATGCCTGCTGTCCAGAGCAGGATGCCCCCCAAGATCAGCAGCTGCTTCTTCAGAGCCTGCTGACTCTCTCCAACTCTCAGGCAGTCCAGGCCAAAGCCAGAGACCAGCAGGCCCAGAAATCCCAGCCCGTTGGACAGAAACATTAAAATCCTGGAGATCCTGAGTTCAGCAGGCAGAGCCAGGAAAGAATCGAAGGTCTTGCACTGTATCCCACCTTCCTCTTGGACGACACAGGTTTGCCAGAGGCCCAGGGTCCAGGTCTCCATTTCATTTAAATCCAGGTTGAGGTCTTTCCACTGGGGCAGGTAGTTGGTGAGGCAGGATAAAACCCATCCCAGCAAAGACAATGAAATCCCAGCCCACTGTGCCGCAGCTCTAAAGGTGAGCGCCATCGGCGAGCTCTGAGCGCGTTGGGCAGTCTCACACCGGCTCTGGGGTGTCGTGAAAAAAAGTGCAGCCCTTGTGTTATCACTTCAGCACTTTTTCATTGTGTATATAGGAGGATTGCTGCCAGAGTTGACATTGTTTGATTCCATGTTGAATAGGTTTCAGAAAGGGATAGGGAAATAATTCTGCAAACCAGTTATGCCGAGGTGTGGCCAGGATCAGGTTCATGTCCTATGGGCTGGCTTTTGTAACGCACAGCATGTTATGGAAACAACCTGAAGGGGTAACACGCCTCCTTTCCTCGTGAAGGTCTGGATGGCTTTCATGCCCCCACCTTCCTACCGTCCGAGAAGTAAAGTCTAAATGCACAGCGTTTCCTTGACAGCTTTGCTTCAACTCCCGCTGCTTTCGAGCTTGCTAAGGGCCTCTGCCGGCTTTTATCTGCTCATTTTATCCTCACATTCTAGTCTGTATATCATGTCAAGATGTTGCCACTTTTCAAAATAGTTGCCAGAAAACTGTTACTTAACCAAATAAATTACTGTTATCAAATCTCTGGAGACTGAAATCAGGCCATCTTTTCCAAAGCCCTTAGCACAGGCCACAGAACCTGAGGACGCCACGGCCCGCTTACCTACGTGTCTTTCTGCCAAATTCATGCACGTGCGCATCAACACGTGTGTCTTTCCTTTGCCGAAACACGCTTTCCGCGCTGCAGAGAAGTTAAGCAACAGGACACTGTAGCTTAGACTCAGCTGGGTCGGCCCGAAAGCCTCTATCCCCAGCTTGTCATTTTTAATTGAACAAAGGAAAGTCTTCTTCGGGCAAATGAGCTGTCCCTATCTGCTATCAAGCGAAATATTTTTGGAATGTTTCTCTCTTAGATATGCAGCTTTTGGAGGAGAGAGGAGGCTGGCCCTTATTTTGAGCCTGAGAGCATCGAGCTGTGCCGAGAATCCCCAGCCTCTCACCTTGTCGCACAGGTGTCTGAGCTCAGCCCCTTCTGTTCAAAGAGCAGCCTCAGCTGTGGAAATAACACTGGGTTGACTTAACATGTGGCTTGCTAATGCGGGCAGCTTATAAGATTTCAGCTTTTTTTTTCTTTAGGAAACTAGTTACTATCACTTTCAGCTACCAACAAGAACACCAAAAACCTTTTCTAACATAAAATTGACATGAAAGCTGAAGCCTTGGGGTATTGCATGACCAGCAGCACATTTTGATTTTAGTAACCCCAGCGATGACATGCTTTGGCTCATATCTGTGTAACGCTTAGCATAATCATTTTAGATTTAAGATTTACCTCTTTCTTACTTCTCCAGCCTTGAGAGGGGCTGGGGGAGGGAGGACCTGGTAGAGAACGGGTTATTGAATGAGAGTGTGAGCAGCCCAGATTTAGTTGCATAACAAAGACCCTTTTATCACAGTGGCTGTAGCAGGATGCATCTCCAATCTTGTGAAAGCCTTACATTTTCAGATGTACATTTCCACTCAGCTATGGACACTGAGTTGGCATTTCCGCCGCTGCATAGTGGCCCGAAACTAGAGGGGGCCGGGAGGAGCAGGCTGCACAGTTCAACAGACAGCCTCCCAGGAGCAGGAAAAAACCAGCGAACCAGCCGAGAAACAGGGCATCCCCAAACTCCCACCGAGGCATGATCTCTGGGAGGGTCTCGTCCCAGAACGCCTGCACCGTCATGTGGGCGACCCAGGAAACAGGAGCCAAGACCGAGATGCCTGCTGTCCAGAGCAGGATGCTCCCCAAGATCAGCAGCCGCTTCTTCAGAGCCTGCTGACTCTCTCCAACTCTCAGGCAGTCCAGGCCAAAGCCAGAGACCAGCAGGCCCAGAAACCCCAGCCCGTTGGACAGAAACATTAAAATCCTGGAGATCCTGAGTTCAGCAGGCAGAGCCAGGAAAGAATCGAAGGTCTTGCATTGCCTCCCACCTTCCTCTTGGACGACACAGGTTTGCCAGAGGCCCAGGGTCCAGGTCTCCATTTCATTTAACTCCAGGTTGAGGTTTTTCCAATGTGGCAAATAAGTTGTGATAATAGAGAAAACCCATCCCAGCAGCGATAATAAAAGTCCAACAAATTGCATAATCACTCCAAAGCCCAAGGCCATTGCAACAAAATGGGAAGGCGTATTCCGCCCCTATAGAAGCTGCTGTCTCCGTGGTTGACGGGAGTGTGACGGCCTTGCATCGACGCCGCTGGAATATAAGCTGCGCTCGTTAACTCTTTGGGCACTCTGAAACGCGTGTTTGTTCTTCTCAAATATAGTGTTTCATGTAAAGGATGAAGGACTCTGTTAAAACTATGAGTTAGGCTTTCTGATAAGGATTTGATCTGTTACCTTCCAATTTGCTTGGTAAAATTATATCCCCAATGCTTGATGATTATAAGTCTAAGGATGAACAAAGAGGGCTCTATGACCCCTCACCCTAAAACACAACAGAAATCTTTGTGCTTCAATATGGATTAATTAGATTTTAAGTGGTGATAAAGGGCCAGCTCTTTCTACAACAGGACCTCATTGTAATAGCTGAATCTGAGATTTCAGGGACGCAAAACAAGAGCTTGAACAGAAAGGTAGCTGTTCCCCTATAATCTTTATTCTTCTCAGACTTCCTCATCCTACACAAGAGCCTGGCCCGTGTTCGAGTGTCACAGGGACTCGGAGGGGACTTGGCAGAAAGTTGCCCTGAGATTCCTTTGAAAGGTAGAGGCTGGTTCACTGGGTTAATTAAAATGAAAAAGACCCAGGCCGGGCCCAGAGGTACTAAGTGAGGACCGAGAGTTCTAGAAGCTCTGGATCTCACGCTATTATTTTCTCCACCCTCAGCAAGGACTTGGGGTGAAGCCTGATTTCTTTGTGTCTAGGGAGAGTTTTTGTCCAGAACTGGGCTTTCTTCTCTGCAGTTGAAGCCTCATGGACAAAGCAGTGCCGGCGTGAAGCCTCCTGCCAGTTCCAAGACAAAACGCTGTAGTGTGAAAACAAAATCCACAATGGGGCTGACCTTTGAGGCTTCATCTTGTTTGTTTGGTTTGGTTGAGGCCACACCTATGAGCAGACCTCCGCGGAGGCTGAGCCCTTGGCGGGTACAGGGCCCCAGTCAGGGCAAAGGGCCCTGTCTCCAGGTTCCCAGCGCTCCTGGCGGCACAGCCCAGGGCCCAGGAAGCAAGCATGCCCCTCGCGAGCGCAGGGCCTGATGGGCCTGCAGGGGACCCGACAGATTCCCACAGCGGAGCCACCAGCTGGAAGGTTCTGGCCAGGTGAACCGAAGCCACTGCCCATCATGGTCTAGCTGTTGAGTCTGGGCCAGCCTCGGAGAGGATCTTTTGTGATGTTGCTCTGCAGGCGAGGGGAGAGACAGGACCCCCATCCTGGTTGTAGGATTGATCGGGCTTTTGCACTGTTGGCCTCTGGGCTATCACCTGCGGCCTTAAATGCAGGAGGTGCTTGTGAACGTGAGCTCAGGGTATGCATGCCTGATGGTGGACACCGGGGTATGGTGTGGGCATGCGTGAGTGGGCACACCTGAGCCTGGAGGCTGAGCCTGTAAGGGCAGTGTCACAGAGGACGGGGCAGCAGATAGCAGTGGACAGGCTATGGGAGGAAGGGACCAGAAAGAGTAAAGATCCTGCTGGGGGCTGGGAGGCCTGCCAGTCTCCTGCCCCCCAGCACCCCTGCCCGCCCTGCACCTGGTTGCTGCACTACAAATGGTGTAGAAAGATCATCAAAAGCCAGAAAACCCCACTAAGGGCTCCAAGATTCTTCCCACATCCATAGGAAACCTGCTCTGTGCCTTTCTGGCACTACAGAAAGCTCGCCACCACTGGACTCTTTCTCAGTGGTTGCAGTTTTCCAGGATCCCCGAGGCTGTGTTGCTGCCCTCCATGGACTTAAAGCAGGGAGCTGCTCCAGTTGGCGTAGGTCATAAGGGTCCGGGAGACACGGCTGTGGTGAACCAGACCTGGCCTTCCAGGAGGCAGACAGATGAGAATGTTCTGAAAAGCAGGCGTTAAAAATTATAGGCAGATGGTTAATAGTGTGTGGAAGTCTTTTTCTAAAAATGGAATGGAACCTGTTTCTCTGAGGTAGAGAGCTCCATCCAGAAGTGTTTATACGGATAATGATCACTTGTCAGGGCTATTGAAGAGGAGATTTCTGTGGTGGGAGTTGGACACCAGAACCTCTGTCGAGAATCCAGAAATAGCAAAACTAAAACCACCAAGTTAATAATCGTATTCAGTAAGAGTTTATTGTGCATATAAGAACAGTTCTCTTTCTGGGAACCGTCAGCCCCTGCTGTGAAGTTGAGGGCGTGGAGCCACAGGCTGGCTGAAAAGTGGAGGCACAGGAGTAGCTTACCCTTATTATTATTTACGGTTATTTTTGCCACAGACTCCTTGGATGCTGAGGGATGGGTTTAAAGGGATGCCCTCGTGCCCTGTTTAGGATAGCTGAAGTTCCTTTTATAATTGTCAGAGGCTTCTACAAGAAATAACACAAATTCAGCTTCACTTCTGATAAACAGTTTCCGTCCTACTTACATAGTGAAGTGATTTCGTCTGCCCAGGTGTAGGGTAAGTAAATGATGTCAGGCTTTTCTGCCTTCCCGCCACTAGGATGGATGATGGATCCCTGCGGCCCTGAATGCATGCCTGATGGCGGCACCTGGAGTGGGGTGTGGGCCTGCGTAGGGGGGTACACCTGTGCTGAGAGGCTGGGCTTATGAGGGCGGTGTCACGGGGTCGCCTGCAGAAGCAGAGCAGAGCAGCAGAGAGAACGAGAGTGAAAGAGAACAAAAGTGAGGCAGTGACCGCCAGGGAGCCCAGAAGGAATGAAGATCTCCCAGACCCCGGCACCCCTGCCTGCCGTGCACCTGGTAAACCGCAAATAAAGCCTGAAAAGCCACCAAGGACTCCAGGACGCCTCCTTCACCCCATCTGCTCGGGCCTTAGAAATCCTGCTCCGTGCCTTCCTGCCGCTACACCAGGG